TAAATGTATTTTACAGTCCTCTATTTATTTTGCAACTAATAACTATTTAACAAGTAGGTCAATTTCAAAATTACCACATTTTCCGGTATAACTATACTTAGTGCGTATAGCTAATGCGTGAATCTAATGCCTCAAGTACATTTAATGCAGTTTTAAATCCTAGTAATTTTAACGAAATCGTACGATAAAATTAAGACATTTCATAGTCAAGCCTTACCATCAAAATTATGTAGCGTACCTTCCCATTGACAATGAAGCCATTACATTACAACTGAAACGCTCATCAAAATTATCACCAAAAAATATGAAATTAAAGAGATAAAAATATATACAAATTAAAACTTTTAGAAACTTTGAGCGAACTCCTTAAATCTAACAAACAAAAAACATAAAAGATCTTATTATAAATGATATTTACTCACTTTTATACCAGATACACATTTACTTGTATGATATGTCGGTATTGTAAAATGTAGTTATTAGTTTTGCCGGATTTACATATATTTTCCAAAGTATTAAAACGTCAAATTTACTCTCAGAAATCACTACTTGATCGACAAGCATATAAAGGAGAAAATAAAAATTAATTGTAAAAGACTAACTAAATTTTTTTTTTTAGAGACAAGTCGTTAAGTCCTTATACCATGATTTTAATCCGGTCCTGAGAGTAATTGTTGAATATAAAGTTGTAAAACAAATATCTCTATAAATAAAAATTAATATTTATCCCGATCAAAATTCAAAACATATTACCTAGTTTCATTATTTTTTTCATAAATATTAACTTTTACAAAATAACCAAAATATAAAACACTTTTTTATACTATTACAGTAAAGAAATTTAGGTAGGCATAAAAATTATACACACTTTTCGAAAATAATATTATTATTATAAATTTTTTTATTTGGAAGTTTAAAACAAAAGAAATTTACACAAATGAAAATTTAATAATAACAACAAACAAACTGTATAGAGTTGTTATTAATATAGGTATTATTTTGTTTCTATGAGTATAAATGCCAGATTGTTAAAAATGTACTGGCTAGCATTTTTATGAAATTTGTATATATTCATTGTATTCAAAATGTGACTTATTGAATACCTACTAAGCCTTACAATATATATTATGTAAACAGCGTATTCAATTGAGCCAGTAGGATATTATATTACAATATACAAATTAGACAATACCATGAAATGAAAAGTCATTAAAACTACATTGTATAACAAATTATTTGAAATTAAATAATTGGAATTAAAAACCATCGAATTAATATTTATATAACAAAGTAATCCGTTTAAATAAGCATTAAATAAATATTAAAAAAAAAAAATTATTTTTGCAACTTTCTTTTTATGGATATTTTTTATAAATTTTTAAATAGGCATAATAGTGGTAGTATAGATTATTATATATTGCAGTATAATTTATTGAACTAATCAATCATACAAATTCTAATTGATTATTTTTAACCTAGAATTTAAAATAATTGTTTAAAATAATAATTTCAATTAACTGAATAAAATATTTATTTATGTGGGGGGCTAGTATCAAAAAAATTGATTTAATTTATGTTTTATCATATAACAAAGTTTTTGAAATTTTAGTAGAAAAAAAATAAAAACAGAAAATTACCAAGAATCAAATATTTTTGACGATTATTTTAGGACATATTATTCAACAATAAAAATTTAATTCATCGTAATATACATTATTAAGTATTTATTTAATTCCAGCAGTTATCAAGATAAGTTAAATCGTATAAATATTATAAATAAAATCACTACTAGTGGCGAGTTAAGTCCTAATCCCATTCCTTGTTATACAATTTGAATAATTTAGCTCTTCTGTACCTAATTAAATAAATAACCTATTATATTGTACTTAATTATAATCACGGCTCAAGATACAACCTTCGATAATATGGAAAAAAAATTAACAAATGCACTTAAAGTCATGACCAATTATTATGACAGTAATCAACTAAAACCAAACCCCAACAAAACACAGGTATGTTGCTTCCACCTATGAACCGTGACGCCAAGAAACACCTTAATATAGAATGGATAGGAAAACTATTGCAGAACACTGACTAGCCCGTGTACCTAGGCGTCACCCTAGATAGGACCTTGACATTTAAGGAGCACTGTTCCAAAACTAAAATGAAAGTGCAAGCAAGGAACAACTTACTTAGAAAACTCCCTGGAAGCCAATGGGGAGTTCGACCTCACGCCATGAGTACAACCGGTATGACCCTATATTTGTCAACTGGAGAATATGCGTGTACAGTGTGGAGCCAATCAAAACACGCCAAACATGTATCTGTAGCTTTGAACGATACTTGCAGAATCATATCGGGATGTCTTAGGTCAACACCTATGTGTAAGTTATACCTTCTAGCAAGCATAGCTCCACCTGACATTAGAATACAAGTAACCATCGATATAAAATAAAACCAAACAGATAAAGGATGAAAGATATCCTATGTTCGGACTTGAAATCACGAGCACAAGACTTAAATCCCAAAAAAGTTTCATACAAACAGCAAAATAACTGCCCGAATCCCCACAAAAAGTTAGACTGCAAGATGAGCTACAACCGGGAGAACTGATTCAGACTACACAACTTCCGTTGGGTGGACATCTTCCATGGTCACTATAGAAAACTATTAACAGATTGAAAGCCGGGGTGGCGAGGACTAAAGCTAACATGGTAAATGGGACTTGAGTGGAGAAGATGACACATGCTAATGTGAAGAACGATAGACTGATGAACACCTTTTGTATCAGTCCAGCACAATGCACCAAAGAAGATCTGATTTTGACAAACACAAATGCTCTAGAAGTGGCTGTTTACTATTTCAATATATATTGAAACTGTAAAAAAAAACCCAGCACAGGGGGAGCGCGGCACAGTGGTGACTTGGCATAGTTGGATCAAGTACAATGGTATCTGACAGTGATTAAAATCACTATCAAAAAAACGCTTCGATGCAAATCTTTAGATAGTGTTTAATTTTAAAAAATTGGTGGATTATTCCAAAAGCTACATGATCTGCTATTTCCTTATTAATATCCTGAATGAAAAATGGATTATTAAAAAATATTATTTCTCATAAAAAAATTGTATTGATCCATACATTTTTCAAAAAGTTGTAGCATTTTAAAGTTAAAAATGTAAAAAATAAAATTGAGAATTTTCACACAATAATAGCATTTGGTAACTATTTTCACCATGAAGTCAAAATAAAGTCCGAATTTTTTTTTTTCCATAATAAAGTACATTACATTAGCTTTAATTTAAGATATATATAAAAGTGTCAGACTTTCCGGAACACTTTTAAAAGTTATGTTGAAAAAATTATTTTTTTGTGAAAAAGTTGTCATTTTAAATCCTCTCTTTGGGCAGGTAAAGGGTTAAATTTATGAAAAAAATATACCAAATGATAGGTAAAGACATCAAGCATCTATGAAAAAAAATTATATTGATTTGTTCATTTTTAAAAAAGTTATGGCAGTTTTTAGTAAGAAAAATTGAAAAAATTTCAAAAATTAACGATTTTTAAATTTGTAACATTTTTGGAGATTTTCCCCATTTACGGGAAACGAGGGAAATTTTTTCAATTTTTGAGGGTAATATCTTCGACTAGATACAATTTGTGATCTTTATACGTATTGTTGAAAGAAATCGGTTCGGTGAGAGCTTAGAAACAGTGGTAACAGACACAAAAAAAAACACATCATAGTAAAACCAATACCTTCTCAGCTAAAAACAATTTTTTTGTTATTTCTTGTTTTGTGTAATTCAAATATTTCTTGCATTTAGTATTGAATTTTGATAAACGTGTATAGTCTTTAAAAAAATCAATCAAAATTTTAACAAGTATTTTTAAGTAGTGAAAATATATTTATACAAGTGTAACACCTTAGCCACAAGTATATTTCCCACGATCTATATAATACATCTACGTGATAACATTGTCACAATCGTTTATTGTACATCTGAAATAGTATACCAATTGTGACATACTTTTTTGTGCATCAGAAAACAATATTCACTGGCTAGCTAAGAAAAAATAAGTCTGTTAGTAACAACACTATTTTAATGATTTTTTAATACTTTTTTAATATATTGTAGGAAAAATATTTATTTGCAATTTTTTACTGATTTATTACTGATTCTTTTAAACAATTTTTTCTTTCATAACTATTTATATAGATTTTACTTTTGCGTTTTAATAAAATATATATTTAGATCGTTGACACCCAAAAGTATCTTATTTTTAATACCAATACACTTCTGAATAATCTGCTTTAGAATAGTACTTTCGGTGACACCACAAAATTATGTACACCATGGTCATTGAATATGTTTTATTTAAAATTCTTTTAAAAGTTAAAAATGAGTTCCAACGAACCATATTTTCTATGTTAAGAGTTATTCAACGATTTCTAAATTTTAAATTCTCATAAAATTGACCAAGCCTTATTACTTTTGATCAAATATAGAATAGTTTTTTGATAAACCAAAAAATTTAATTTAATTCATTTTATTTTCGTATAAACTACTGTAATTAAATTTGAAATGTATTTTATTGTATTGACATTTTTATTTGGTAAATTAAGACAATTATATCATGTTACTCTAATTATGATTTGTATTCTTCATCTCATATGTTAATTTTATTTTAATAATTGATTAAAAAAAGAGTGATTTGACCGTTTATGTTGTAGATTATAATAGATTATAATCTATAGGTATTAGATTTAGGTAGTTTGCTTTTTGAAATTAAATGTTTGATTTGGGTAAGTTTTATTTTTTCAAAATTTCAAAATAGCTATTTTTTAGCACTTTTCTTACAAAAAAATGTTGATAGATTGATAACAACATTAGATTTTATAAATATATCTTTGATTACAATAAAAAAAAATTGTTTGATTTAAACATATATTTAATTAACAACAAATGTGAGTCAGAATCAACAAGAACTCATAAAAATATCATCTATATGAATTTATTATAGTAACAGTAATAACATAAATAATTATAAACATTAACTTATAAGTATAAATTTTTTGAAAACTATAAATCTATGCATATAAAAAAAATTACATATACAATGAATTTGAAAAAAATTTCAAGCTCAATATAAAAATACACAAATTGATATTGTTTTTGTATATGTAAATTATTATATCTGTAAAACCAAAATTTAGACTTGGTTGTATAAAAGTAGAATGAAGATAAAATTATTGAAAAATTAAAATTGAAATTTTAAAAAACAGGTAACTAAAGATTCTAACTCATTAAAATAACACATCACCCAAATGAATAATCATAGTGATTCATTAATAGTAGTGTTGTCTTAAAATAAAATAAATTAATATTTATGACTATATATTGGACTGGCTTGGACAGAGAGTGATGAAATAAAAACCAAGGAAGTGTTACATGAACTTTATAAATATAAATCATCTAGCTGGCAATAATGGAATGTGCAAGATTAGATTCATGCATTTCCAAATTTAACTTTACTTGTATCTTTCATCAAATGACAATAGGCAACCAATTGCACCAAAATAACCCTAAAAATAAACAATCTATTAATACATTATCATATATATACATAAAAAATTATTTTTGTAAAATACTAGGGTTGTTTAAAAAATAAGCTATATTTTGACATTCACATAAAACTATTACAATTAAAAAAAGAACATATATATATATATATATATATGTTCTTTTTATATATATATATATAATTTATAATATATATAATGTAAATTTTGTTTCTATGATTTTGTTAAATTTCCTCATTTTAAACAAAGTGCACTTGGGAGAACAGCTCACTTTATGTGCGAAACTAGTGTCATCAAAATATATTGCAATTTACGGAATATTTTACAAAAACGTCTATAGATCAAAATCTATAAAATATAGATCTTATCAAAAAAATCTAATGTCATTATATTCAATATAAAATGATAGTCATAATGATCTATGTTACTCTTAAAAAAAATTTTTTTTTAAGTAACGTGGTATTTCATCAAGTTTGATGATCAGATATTCTAACAAACTCTAAATTTTAGAAAATATTTGTAATTTGAACACATCATTTATGCCACATTCATCTACTGAAAACCACTCTGTATCATAAATGCACAAACTTATAAAACTCTAATTATAAAAAAGAATTTTAAGCTTCATTTTATAAGTCAAGAGTTACAAAAATAACTATGTTACATAAAAAATATCAATCATTTCCTAATGTACAATCTACATAAGTTAAAAAAATAGAAACAAGATGATCAAAATTAATTTTGATACTCTTTAAGCTAGATTAAAACAAAATATATTCTATTACAAAACAATAATGTTTAAATAGTCTCCCAAATCATTGATGAAAAGTCATTTTCAAAATAGAATTTTCATCTTTTCATATAGCTATGATAAAATAACAAGTTAATTTTTTAAAAATATTCAATAGAAAGAAAAGAATTTTTAAAAAAAACTCAACTTTTTAGCTTGACTCTGCTATGAAGACAGACATATTATTAAGATTATTTAACTCGAAAATTTTTACTGATTTAAAACTTGTAAGATTCAAAAACTTACTTATTGATTACTACTTATCTAAACTGACTATATTTTTATGTGTCGAATAAATACATTTTTAAAATAATACACAAAATAAAAATATTAAATTACTTCATGATTTAAGAATATTGCTTTTTGAGAACCCTTTGACCAATAATCCATAGCATGTGATAACAATTTCATTGAAATGGGGTTAACTCTCAAAAAATTACCAACAAAACAAACCTGAAACAAAGACAAAAATATTAAAATATACAAGGAGTTATATTTAAATAATTAATTCTATTTACTCTATCAATTCTTTCATTTAAAGCACACATTCTAGCTATAGATGCAATATTATTGGTGATAGTAACCAGAGTAGCTCTCGCTAGATCTTCTCGAGACACACTAGCTTGTTTTTCTTTAGAATTCATGTGTCCAAAGCTACAAAAATAATGAATTAAGTTAATTAACTTGGTTAAAAAATATAATATAAATAACAATCAATAAAAAAAATACCTGCTAGCAACTAATTCTCCAGGAAGTCCAAACCTACTATAACTTCCACCATAAATATCTCTGACTAATTTGTCAACTTTAGTATTGTCTCCATTAGCTGCTAATTCAATTGCTTCATCAAATGTATTACATCCTGTCAATAAACTACAAAGCCCTAGGAATGTACCACCTCCTATACTGTAAATTATTGTTTTTTTTTTAATAATAATAATAATAATAATAATAAATTATAATAATATATCATTGATATACATAATATAAAGAAGTTTATTAAAATATTTATTACCTTGTTCCAGATATTCTTTTAAAATCATTTGGTCCATATACAGCAAGAACACTAACACCAGACCCTATATTTACAACCTAAAAGTTAAATAAAAGTATGTCTTAATTATAAAATAATATAATATAGATGGGTTAAAACTCACAATGAATGGGTATTTATTGTACTGGAATGTATAATTTTGAGTCGAACACTGTTCATCTTCGGTGCATTGAGACCAAAAATAACACTCATTATTATTAGATGCTACTGTAAAAAGCATTCCACGAATCAAGCTGTCTAACTCATCACATTTACACAACTTAAGATTTAACTCCTAAAAAATGTTTACAAAAAAATATTTACATTCAGTTCATAAAAGAAATATTTATATAAATATTTTATTTTATATCTGTCATATATAGTTATAATTTACAAAACACTAAAAGGGTCCATTAAGTATAAAGTTTTCATCTTAAGTGGAAACTTGTTTGAATAAGTCATTTGAAAAAATATATAAGAAATAATAAGGAAGCTACTTGTTAATAGAAAGCAACATATTGTTAATTTTTTTCCATATTATAAACAATTCAAACTGTACAAAGGAATACACATATAAAATTGATTTAAAAAAAACCAGATATATTTAACAATGTCATAGATATAATGTTAATATAAAGCTATTCATTTAGGTAGGCAAAAAAAACAAGTTAATGCAAAACGAGATGAAGGTTAACTAGATATAGTAAATACTACTATAGCTTAATGATTTATTTTAAAATACTCATAAGAAAATTCTTACAATAAGAAAAATTTTTAAATCTATTCGAGAGAATATTGTAACAAAATATTAAAATAATGAAAAATTATGAATAAATAATATTGATAACATTTTGAAAGAATAATTAATTTTAGTGTAATTTATTAATTACAAATAAACTTCTAACATACATATAATATTTATCTCAATTAATTTGATATAAGTTACATCAATTTGTGACCCCAATTGTTTTATTAATGACACAATTAAAATAAATATAGAGTTAAGATGTATATTATATTATTATTATTTCTATTTTTTTGAATTCTTAGGAGAATTTCTAAGAAAATTAAGTGTATTCAGATATTATAAGACAAAATAAAACTAAATCACTTCATTGAACTATGATTTAGAATTACTTGATCTAAAATCATAATTATTTAAAAATTTATTCACCTTGACCTTTTTGTATGAACATTATTTTAATTTATACAATGCATTAATAAAAAAAGTAATTTATAAACATAATACAATGACAATTATCATGTCAAAAAATTAAAACATAAAATACAATTATCAATTTAATCAAATTACCTTTTTAAAAACACATTTATCAACAATATTGTTATAAAAATAAAAATCACAGCAATGATTTACAATTATGAATAAATGTAATTTCGAATAATTAAAATAGGCAAATTTTATTTGATAACATATTTTTACCTATTATTTTAATTGTTATGAATGAATCACCTCTTTAAATTGTTCTTCGAACTTAAAAGCTCCTCCACCTGTTGCACAAACTGTAGATACACTGGCTGCCATACCTTTCCTTTTGGCTAGTTCAAGAAAATTACTCATCTCGCTTGTAGGAAATCTAATAAAATGTAACGTTCCTATCCTGTTGCATATTTTAACATTGTCCATCTAAAAAAATTGTTTCATTATTTAACATTAAAAGTTAACATGGTATATCATAATTTGGTAAAGAAACCATAAAAGTTGTTCACCTGTAAATGTGTATCTCTATGGCCAGATTTTCCATAAGCAGAATTTTTGGTCAAGTATTTGGTAACATTTGATAAAAGAAGAGCTTCGTCTTCAGTTTTCTCTACAACATTGTCTTTTGGTTCAAAAAATACTAGTTTTGAAAGTGTTCCTCCAATGTCCATGCCAAACCATGGCATAGCTAAAATTACATTTAAACAAATATTTAGTTACTTTAAAAAAAACAATTGAATCAATACACATTATTTATAAATAATTATAATAATAAAACATGGATTAAAATTAATTTAATGAAGCGTAAAGAAAATACTTATTCATTACATCAGTGACGGTCAAATAGGAGAGGTTTAGAGGAATAGAATCCTATTAACATACTTCATTTCATCTTTTTTGTACAATTTTCCACCAATGGACGCAACCAAAATTATTATTGGCAGAAGGAGGTAATTATAATTTCTTTAAAAAAAACATCTTTAACCAACTTAAAAAAATACAAGGTTATAATTCAAGTCTCGCTTCCATTTTAGGGAGCTACAATCCCCTAACCTTTTATGAGCCAATACAAACCAACAAACTAAAATTATTTAGTTCAACAAAGTCATACATAGAATAATAATAATTATTATGTATGATTTAGATAAATAAATTCAGTAGAAAAAATAAAATAATTGTATTTTTTTATTCATATTCTACGCTAAAAAAATTAATTTAAACCTAGGGCATTAGTATTTGATAATGCTGAAATTTTCATCCAACTTATAATTATCAATTAAAATGTTTTGACGAATTAAAACAAAAAAAAAAGTAACTTATACTATTAATATTATCTCCGAAGATTAAAGTTAAATAAATTAGTTTATCCTTTTATAAACAACCATAATTGTAACGTTAAAACACCAGAAAATTCAAAATTTACATTAATCTTATGAGACATTTTAAGCGTTTTAAACTGTTTACATGTTTTCTACAAGTTTTTTTTAACGTATTCTTTAATAACCTTGCAAATAACCATAAAAGAGTTCTGCATTTGCCCCAAATATTCTGTTTAAACAGATATAGAACACAGCTGAAAAATTTTTAAATCATTTTTTTAATCTTTATTTCTCTTTATATATATTTTGGAACCCTCGTTATAAATTTGTAAAGTATCCAAATGATTTTATCTAAGAAAATGCTTAATGAATTCTTTGCTAACAATGGGTCATAAAAATATTTGGTATATCAACCGGACGTTAAAATTTAAAATTCAATTGGTTTTCTTTTGTAATTATTCAAATCCCAAACAATATAGGTTTCGACATTTCCTGCAAAAATACAAATAATCTGGATTCAAGTAGCCTCGAAAAAGACTTGTAAGAAATGTATACACAACGGAAATATGCTTTGTATACACAATAAGAGAAGTTAGAAAACTCGTTAACATTAAAATGTCATGATAATTTCTAAAATAGCTCCAAATAGATCAATAACAACTTCTACTTTTTGCAATTAAAAAATACAAGAAAAAACAACTTAATTTATAGTACAATGTAAAAAATATTAAAACAATGTTATTAGTTAACCGCAGTTTACATGAAAATTCTTTATTTTATCACCAAATAAAAAAAAAACGTTATTTTATTATTACTTATAAATCTACATTCATTTTATAAGGACAGTTTAATTAAATTTAAATAGAAATTAATAAATTACTTTAATAATTTATGCTGTTTATTATGTTGCTATTTAAACTTATTTAATAACTATTGCCACTAGCAATTTGAATAAAGATAAAATAAAATATAAGTCAAAGAAGGCTAATGTTAAGTTCATTGTAAATTATTATACCATAACTATTAACAATTATTAATAAATAGTCTTCTGCTTGTAAAAATTAAATGTACGTTATCCACGGAAACTAAGTATTAATTTCATTAAAATAATTTATTAAATTTAACAAATTTTTATTATGAAAAACTCGTCTTATAGGAGCAGTAAATTAACGAAATTTAAATAACAATTTTAATCACAGAAACATAAATTAAAGAACAATTTTAAAAGAATCACGAATTAGTAATAGTTCAGTAATTTTCATTGTTATAATAGTAACTCCTATTTTCTAGGTGTATATACGTCCAATAAAACTTTTCATTTATATTACAACAATATGAGAAATATAATGAAAAGTGATCACTTATGGCTAATATTATTTAATACTAAAACTATATTAAAATTGTTATTAATTTAAAAACTTAAAAATATTAAACTCAAAAATATTTCTAAAAAATTGCAGATACATATTTCGGAAACAATGTTACTACTATCAACGCTAAACACATACACAATACGTGTTTAGGGTATCCTCGATATTTTAGTAATTTTATTGTGGTTTTCTAAGTTTAATATTTTTAATATTTTATAGTTTTAAATTAATTATATTTTTAATATAGTTTTAATTTTAAATAACATGGGTAATGTTAAAACGTATTGTAATGTATCACATAACAAACAATATTGAAAATAAACCAATACCAAAAATATTTGTTTAAAATAACAAAAAATATACTACGCATTTCATTAAATCAACAACAAATAATTGGTAAAAATAGTTTTACAAAGTGATTTTCATTCCTATCACAAAACATAATTATTTAAATGTAGATGTTATTTAAAAAAAAAAATGCGCATTTAACCTTATAAAACCGAATACTAATACATTACTCATGAATTTTTGAATCGTAAATTATTCATTTTTATTTTTAACATCCTTCATCATCTCTTTATCTCAATTATTTGGGGTAGACACTATCTTACATTTTGACAGGATTTTCACACCAACGTTAACCTTACGCATTTTTATTTAAAAATATTTTTTATTTTAGATATTATTTTTATCTTATAAAATTGACAAGAACAACTAACTTATCCGCAATAATTATTTAAACACATTACTTAATTAATTCATTTGAAAAATATGAAAAATTTACTTCCTGAATTTAATAAAATTATTCATATGCATATAAACTAGCACGTTATTTTATAAGTTATAGAATTTAATTATTAGAAATTTAAAGTAGAAATAAAAATGGTAATGTTGGACTATAAAGGAAACGGTACAACGCTTAGAACATTGTGTATATTGATTATAAATTAATTAATACAGAAAATCGAAGAACAAGTACAAAAATAAAAATATAAAAATTGCTTTATTTTAAATTCAGTTTGTTTAAAAGAATTGCCGTTGTTTTTTTATGATTTGTTTCTGATTTCTGTCCCAATAATTTCAATGAAATGACACAATAATAATTCTTAAAAACAAATTGCATATAAACAACAAAATTGATAGAAGCAGTAATCATTTTCACATTTTACAATAATAATATGAACAATAAGATAGTTTAGAAAATAGTTATTTAAGAAAAATTAAAACTGCAGTACATAATGAGTTTCATTTGTTGAATAGAAAATTAAAAAATTTATTTTTTTGAATTTAGCCAATTATTTGAGTTTGTTCATTGCCTATGAAGTTTTAAGATTTGCAGAATTTTTCTATATTGTTAACATCAGTCAAGTTTACATGTAGATAGGTCATCATAAAAAAGAAAAATAATAATTATTTTTCTGATTGTAAATTTAAAAAAAACTATATAAGACATGATTATCAAAAAACAATCAAATTATTCCTTTCATTAATAATGTTATTAAGTAATTCAATAAAAAAATATTTGGTTATAAACTATGACTAATAAGTTTATTCTACTTTTTGAATTCCTTTTTTTTTTGACGTAGTTTTTTTCTCTTGCTGCTCACTACTATATACAAGGCTAGTTTATGAGCTTGATCTTTGTTTATTTGTCCTAATAATCTTAATGGTCACACTAGGCTCGACGGTATCATTAGCAACTCAAAGACTTATCACAATAGCCTAAGCGATATTGAATAACATATTTTCTTGCGATTTACTTGAATGTAATTGGGAGTAATATGAGGACTGCTTGTGTGTATATAGATGATGTGGAAGATCGTGTCATGTGGATATTTAGAAATCGGGTGGCCGATCCCAGGTTGTAAAGAAAATGAGTAGTTGATAACCACTTTGGTCCAGTACTTCAGAAATAATTTGAAAATTAAAAATATAGACTGGAAGTTAGACGCGAGTATAACTATTTTTATCACTAGACATTTCTCGGGCGGACTCCTTTTCTTACCTATTTATTCGTATTTATAAAACAAATATAAGTTTAACTTCAAAAATTTTGGTAAAATGATGCAATTCATCAACGAGTAAAGATGGCTCAGACTATTAGGTAGTTTGAATGAACCCTCAATGTTCATTTTAACACACCTCTAATTAATGGCCATTTCTTTTAGGTTCATCAGTTGTCGTTTCGTTATATGAGAATTATACTATACATGTTTAATATTTTACAAAATACTGCTTTAATTTGACTGCTTTCAAAAGAAAACCCTCTGAAATCTCTTTAATTTGTACCACCATTCACTTAACACTCCGTTTCTTCAACTAAGGAAAAGATCACCCAAACAAAACGATTTTTGATTTTTTTAACAAATTACTTGTAAATATTTATAAAACAAGAGAGAGCTCTTTTCTCAAATAATTTATTCAAATGCACACTTTAAAATTATACAATGTTTAATTTCTGTTATCTTAAATATCTTATCTACTTATTATTATTACATAATACACTATATATATTTAAGTATATTTAAAAAATATGAATGTTCAATCAAGCAAAAGATCACAAAGTTTGAATGATAAATTACATCAATTAAAACAAATGCAAAGACTTGTAAGTAGAGTACGAAATAAAATTACTAATCAATTACAACATCTTTACAATCAAAAGTACATTCTATGGAAATTTCTAATTCTCTATGGTTGTCTTATTAAATAAAAATTAAAACTAGCAATTCCTGTTTCGATTTTCAAATTCACTACTGCGCATTTGTTGACAGCCTCAGGTATCCGGTTTTAAAAAAAGTAAACGATACGAGTCTATTGGGAATCCATTATATTTACTATGCTTCATAATAAGATGTTTAACAATATTTAAAAGTAAATTATACGATTTATGAGCACATAAAAATCCAAATATCTTAATTATAAATTAGACATAAAATAAGAATTGATTACTTATGGTTAATATTATTTAAAACTAAAAATATATTTAAATTAAAGACAAACTAATAGTATAATAAATACCTCTCGGAACAAACAAAAAAAAATTGTTTTGATAATTTATTTCAAATTCAAAATATTTCTAAACGTTATGAATGACGGAGTCATGTGTATAAATACATAAGGCATTCCAATGCATACAGTAAACCAATCGGATACAAGTTGTTTAAAAGACTAGTGAGGTAAATACTTTCTCTCAGTTAATATAAATACTATAAAGTACATACTTGTTAGTGACCAGTATTATAAATTAATTGTTATATAAATTATATCAAGGGGAATTGAATAAAATAATTGAAACGCTTTAACTATTGAGATATTATAATTCATTAAAATTAAATATTACCAAGAGGGTAGAGTAAACTGAAATACGAGTGCAATATTGAAATAAATAATTTATAGTTTAAAAACAATTTTATAAGACTTGAATTTTTTTTATTAAATATATAATATTCTTACTATTGATAGTAAGTAATAACATTACTTAAGTTTTATTTTCGCACACAATTTTTGATATAGAATTTCAGAAAAAATCTTTATTTAGGGTAAAAGTCCTTCTAAAAAAGTACATTTTATACTTATTATAAAATGAATGAGGTATATATATATTACTCATTAAATTCGTGTAATTATCTAATAGTTTTTATTTCAGTTTTTTAACAATTGTCTTAATTATTATAAAAATATTATTTTTTGAGAAAAAATGTATTTTTAAATAACTAATTGTTTTTTTTCACTCGTTATAATTAAATATTATTATATTAAATTGCAAAATTACTAAATTAAATAAACTGTAATTATTTTATTATTTCGAGTAAAAACCCTGAATAAACAATTATTTATTTATTTATTTGCTCGTTAAAATTAACTCAATACTAACTGGACTCTTACTCCATTAATGGGGTAAAAGTACGCTTGTATTTTTAAATTTATTTCAGTTAATTATTCATTAAATGAATTCAAATCTCGTTATTAATACATAAATGGTATTTATTTTTTTTATTTGTATAATGACATAGAACTAGTATATATACATACACTAGTTATATGTGATTAAAAAATAATGTGAACTTTTACCTCAATTTACTCTATTTATATTTTTTGGAGATCAAAGTAGATTTTACTATTTTTTTACACTCTATCGGATTTGAAATTCTATAAGAAAAAATTCTCGTCATCTCATTTTATAGTCATTTAATAATTTTGTATAATTTCAAAATTATATTAATCGTTACAACTTTTCCCTCAAACTGATAAAAAATATTACCACAATTCCTATTTAATTAAATCATTTAAGGGTTATAATAAGATAATATTGAATCATTATCTTCAAAATATAAGCGTAAATGCCATTTAACGAAGTAAGAAAAGTTATAATTAGAAAAACCATTATATAATCTATAATAAATTAAATCGTAGAAACACTTCATAAGTTCAAATGATAGATAAAAAAAGGCATCTAACGTAATATTATTACACAAACTTTGACCAGTCTAAATTAAGGTCAAATTTAATATCTTTAAGGTTGAAAATATTTATATATCATAATACTTTAGAAGAGTACACCATTATGAACTTGACTATGTTTTACGTAGAGACATCCAACTATATATATATACGTACAAGAGGTAAAACAAAACATAGGTAGATGAATATTTGCATTGTTATCTAATTAACAGAAAAATAATTGGTTACTTACGAGGAACTTTGCCGTTAAAATGACTTTTTCGCATTGTCAATCCATTAGCCAATGCATTTGCTATAACTGTGGTGTAACTTTGTTCCATCACTTGAAGCGCTGAACACTCCTTACAAGTATAAGGGCCCATAATAGTTATGATTTACGTCTAAACACACACAGGAAAAGTAAAAAATTCAAAAGTTAGTTTTGATTTTAAAAAGTCATGATAAAAACGCCGAAACAGATTGTTTAAAACCACGTGCGTGGAAACAACTTCGTTCCCATCGATCGACTGACGTCGCGCGCCAACTAATCGTATGAACTACCTCAAAGATGAACCATATGAGCGAATACGTACTACGTGTTGACCGTATATGACTAATACTATGATTTCAACATGTCAATAACATTATTAGGAGACGGAGAGAGGGTAATATGGACGATGGATATGTATGAAAAAAGTTGCGATGAATCGGTACATAAAAAAATTAGTTACGAAGAATGTGCACGAGTAATTCTCGTGCAAAGAAAAATACTAGAATAATACAAATAAACAAAATAATCAAAAATTATTTCAACCGTTTTTAACAAATGCCACAAAAATTGTTTTTAGAGTATCAGAAAAATAGAGTAAAAACCACAATGTTTGACGCATAATACTATAAATTTGCCAATTATTGTGTTAAGTTCTATTATAATAGGAAAGTACTATTTTATTTTTTCTTAGCATAGAAACATAGTAAGTTTCAAACAAAACACTTTGTATCAAAATGATTGAAAAACCTAAATTATTCCTGAAGTATTTAAGTTCAATAGCGCCTACATAATTATAGCAGCGATAACAGTTAAAGAAGCGTTTGAGTCACAAAATCAACCAGTTATTTGTACTATAGACACTTTTTGTCAATGTAATGTTTTCTCATTGCCTACTGCATTAGATACTTTTCAAAATAATACCACAGAAAAAAAATCAACGAGTATGCTGTGTAAAATAAGAGAATGTTAATTAATTTTAAAATAAAGTCTCCGAAGGATGCATTTTTTCTGCTTACTTAGTGCGCGCACTCTTCACGTCCTCAGTAATTCCGTCACTGTGACTACTAATTAATCTAATTTTTAATTTGATCACATTAAGGTTATTTATCTTTCAAAAATTTTTTTATTCTCTTTATTAAAAAAAAACAATCTGTACATAAAATTTACAATAAGTTTTTTTGTTGACTTATTCAATTACATAACATTAATAGCGTTAAAAAAAAGTTACTCATTGGTAACATCTCGGTTAGTTTTAGTTGAAGCTGTATACAAGTTATAGTTTTATTGTTGTCGTTAATTTGTTAAGTCAATAGGTCTCGGTTGCATTTACGTTTGAGTCTTCGTGGTGGGTTGTCAGGTATTGAAACTGTGTACATTTTTTTAATTAAAGGGTTTGAATTTGTATTAAGTTTTGAGTGAAATCTAGTATAGTGTAAAATTACAAGTTCTTTGACAGTTTTGATGTTTAAATCTTTGTGTAGGTTATTATTAGTTAGATACCACGGCGCACCAGTTAACACTCGTTATATTATATTTTGAAAGGATTGTATTTTGGTCGAATGTTGGATGGTTTGACTGGTCCCCATATCTGAATACCATAAGACCAGACTGGTCTGATTATTGACTGATAAATAAGTAATTTTGTTTCGAGAGGTAATATAGATTTTAGTAATGGACGAAAGATATGAAGGCTGCTGTTGGCTTTTTTCCTTTTGCCTTTCAGGTGAGGTAAAAGAATTTACAAAAAATATTTATGATAAGGTACGTAAATTCATTTGTCAGTGACTTTCTATAAATTAATTATTGAAAAGAAATAAATAGCTTTGAACTTGGTATTTTCATTATGGATAAATAATTTCCCTACCAATAAATTTTGTAATATTTAACCTGAATTTTCATAAAACTAATACAAACAAATTTAACTTTTTGAAAACAGAATTATGCATACAATTACACCTTCATAAATTTACAATCTATGTTTATCAAGTGATAGTAGTATTCCTGACTAAAAACAATAATACCTTTTAAGTTTCGACATATCAAATAAAATAAAGTATAAACACAAAGTAAGAATGAACGGTAAGAGTGACCTTCGTAACATTGTCGCTTATAGGACTATGAACTTACTAAACATCACATTACAAATACCTATTATATACACTTACTTCATTCATTACTCAACAAGATGTACTTACTTTTTTAGACAGTTTAGGTTACCTCTAAAACGTAACTGAAATGTATAGAATATTAATGTAATATCAATACTAATAAGTAGCGATGGAAATTATAGAATAGTAACTATTTGATAGTCATTCAAAAACTATTCGAATAGTAAAAATATTCGATAGTCTATGCTAAAAATAAACTATTCAGTTGTATAAACACAATTCGAAGAGTTTAAAATATTTGAAAATGCCCATCATTAATTTTTACTATTATTAATTGTAAAATAATTTATTTGAAGTATTCGTTAATTATCTTCTTATTATAATTAAGTGTACTGAATAAAAAATTTAGATAGAACTAATTGACTATTTTTTGAAACCATTCGGTAGCCTATTCGAATAGTTTTTTGATAATTTAAAATATTCGAAAATGGCCATCACTACTCATAAGTCTACCCAAAATTGTTTACGTGTACTATTAAAAACACGCACAGAAAACATTTTCTGAGAATGTAAAAGCTTTAATAATTTTCACTTATTTTATACTCTAAATCAAATAATGATAATTATTATTTTATATTCTTATTTTTCTTCTTCCTAGCCTTAATTCCAACTACTGGGGGTCGGCCAATATTATTTTATATTAATATTATAATAGTAGTTATATATTTTAAAACTACCCTTAGCAGGTTCTCATAAAGATGTATTACGAACTCACAGTATACAGAGCCCACATCATGTATCAAAATTTAAAATGCTATAAAAATTTTTTACAATTTACGCAATTTGATACCTAAACTATGATATTTATCATATGATCGATGAAGGCATAATGACGAATAACCCCATAAATCCGCTATTATTCCATATTTAATATACAAAAAAAATTAAGTAAACAATTTCTTTTTCTAACTGATTTTTACCCAACTCATATTATACTACTACTATATTATTAACTGATATTAATTTTAGAAGGGACCTATATACTTTTATCATTCCACAAATAGTTCAAAGTTTCAAAAACAAATTTTCCATCAAATGAAAATAAAATCTATTAATTTTTTTTAATTAAATCTAAATAATTTCCTCTAAATTTAAATCTGAAAAAATATGTATTAATTCGTGAAAAAGAGCTAAATATGCAAAACATGAAAATCAAAAAGTCCTCTATATGTTTCTATAATAATAAAACAAAGCAGTGCTCGTACTATAGAGTACACTCTTGTTGACCCGTTTATAGATAGCTCCGTTTGTTGAGCGAGAGATCAATTCAGTAATTGCAGTCAGCCATACCTCTCTACACCCAAAAAAAAACCTCAATCAAAATTGAAAGANACACCCAAAGAAAAACCTCAATCAAAATTGAAAGAGAAATTTTATCAAGGGTTTATGATAATGTTTTATTAATACGAACAAAATAACTATTCTTATAAATAATTATTGTTCAAGACAAGAAAAAAAAATATCATATTGATAAATATATCATTGATTCAATAGTAATGATATATTTATCAAATTGAACAATGAATTTATTATATAGATCGAGGTTTTTCTCTAGGTGTATAGTTAAGGACTAACTACCCGTCACAAAATATCCACAATTAAAAAACCTTCTCTTCGTAGATATCGCTATAGCCCTTAATGGGCTGCAAAAGCATAAAAAAAAATATTTATATAATATATGATAAAACCGATATAAGATATTTATATAAATATGTGATATATGATAATTATATGATAGTGTATAATAAACCCTTTTTTTTTTTTTTCCACATTCCGGCATACTGTGGACCGCCCTGGAAGTGTATAATAAACCCAACCCAACCGAAACGCAACAATGGGAACTGAGATCAAATGCCCAGCTAGAAAACTTATACAAAAAGGAAAATATTGTGGGATATATTAAAAGTATATAGCAATGCGTGGCGAGCAAAAGGATGCCTAATAAAAGAAATAATGACTTGTAAGATAGCGGGGAGGAGACCAAGAGGAAGACTACGGAGAAGATGGGGCGGATTGGCAAATTATAGTGTATGATAGAGAGAAATGGGAGAAGGTAGTTTTGGCGGTAAAAATGGATTGTACGCCGAAAAAAAATATATATATTTACATATCACTTAGTTATATTTTAAGCGATTATTAAAAAATGTTAACTCCTCTACAAGTCCCAGGCTTTAATTATGATGATGAATAAAAAGCCTATAAGGTATAACTTTAGAAATCCAACTTTATAAATACTCACTTTCATAGTACAAAATTAATATCATTTTTTGCAAATAAAAAACAATTAATTAAAAAAATATCTTATAAAATTATAACAAACATAATTAATTACTTTCATATAAAAAACCACAACAATTTTGTTCCTTGTGTTTATTTATTTCATACATCTATTAATTGAAAAATAAATAAAGAGAAATACTTAAAAATACAAAATTTAATGTAATCAAATCATTGCTGACATTAAATTAGAATTTAACTAAATAAAATAGACATTTTTGTCATTTTAAAATAAATCCTGATATGTATAAAATAAATCTGGTATTGTAAAATCTAAAATATAATAATGAATTGTATTATCCGTTTCCTACAGTGACGTAAATGAGAGCATCAAAATCACTACCTGAACCTATTATAGACCGAAGAAACGTATATAGACTTATTTGGAGAATAGTAATTAAATAAGAACTTTCTCGCGCAATTATCATATAAAATTCTAGTAATAAACCGACATGTTTATATACACATTAAATTCAGGTTAAACATTTATTTTGACGTCAATGGGTTTTTAACAAAGTTATAATTTGTTCCAGTCCAGCAAACTTTAATTATTGTTTACAAAAATGTTGTCGATTATTTTGCGACTTCAACTACAGGTATTCGTAAGAAAATAATAGAATAAATAATAATAATAATAATAATAATGATCGACAGCAAATTTGAAGATCATGTTCAGAAACAGGATAACAACAAAATAAATTAAAAAATTATGACAAAGGTAATGCTGGACTTCATAACAATAAATATTATTAAAAATGTTGATTGAACTGTTTTCAATGCGAAATTGCTTTTGAAAAATGCATTCGAGTTTAACGACCTATGATTGCCATTATGAGATACACAAGAAGAACATTAGCGTACAAGTGTACAGGAATCCGGAATCATCGCAACCATGACTTTTTGAGTTCCTTGACTGTTATTATAGTCATTAACAATCTAGATTCCTGAAGTTATAAAAACGAAATTTTGAAAAGCAACATTGAGACGTGACAAAAATCATGGTAGCATTGTGTAACAGATTGAGAAAGTAAATCACACAGCCTGAGTCCATTTTACTGTCTTTAGAGTTAATAATACATTTTTCTTGGGGTACATATATTATTTAAATAAAATTAATGTTTCTTTGCAGAACTGTTTCTCCAGAATTATAGCTTTGGGTTTGTGTGAAACACGCCTCCTATTTTATTTATTTTGTTACCGACACTGTTTGTACAATTAAATGATCATTATTTTAAAAACACGATATAAAGGCCCAAAATACATTCTTTATAAATAAAACAATCATATACCTGTACAATAATAAAAAACAATTAATACGTTTCTACAACAAATTGAAAAAGTTTTCTTAAAATTCTTTTTCAATAGTTACAATACTAAAAGTCTCGTACTATAAAAACGCTTATCACTTATAAATTCCAATAGAAAATTATTTAAAAAATAAAAACTTAACAAATTATTAGTAAAATGAACACATTGGTAGTTTACATTATTAAAGGAAATAACGTTATTTTTAGTAACCTCTAAAATTAAATTAATTAGTCAAACAAAATCAATGCCAAAAACTACTACTATTATTATTCTAATTTCATATCATTATCATAATACAATATTATTAAATGAAATTTAGTTACTACTAATTCACGTTAATTCACGAGTTATAATTTTAATTTTATACATCAACAAGAGAAATAATGGAAAAAATTATGCAAGTGTATAACCATGCATCCTAAATTTTTAGATCACTCTATAGAAATAAATAGAATTTATATCTATTTTAATAAACTTATATTAAGGAATAAACAAAATGATATTTAAAAAGATCTGAAGTCAAAAGCCCCAAATAACAGAGGTAAATTGAACAAAATATGTCTAACAATAAACTCATTTATCATATAGTGAATTAAAGTATAACTTGCTAAATTCACTCAAATACCAATAAAATACAATCTATAATTATTTTAAAAAATACTACCGCCTTTAAGCTTAATTTATGTTTGTATGTTTTTTTAGATTCCCAAATTTATTTATGTTATTATTCCAAAAACACTAGTTAGTAAAATTATAATAACATATTTTAATTGCAATATAGCTCTGAATACACAGACAATTTTATTTTAATATTATGTTATATCAAACATTGCTACCAATGATTTCAAAAGATAACGTAGTACCTACCAAGTTAGATAGACCTTCAAATTTTGAGGTAAATAAAAACCTACCTAGATTATTACTAAGAAAAAACATTTTTTGCCTCTTTCAAGAGGAAAAATATTTATTTAAAATGACACACATATGCCGATTTTTAACAAAAAATACTTTGTCATGGATAGATGCCAAATATTTAGCCTTTCTACATAAAATGTTTTAAGTTATAATTTGAGCTTACATAACACCTATGAAAAAATTTATGCTAATAGTATAGACTCTATACTATAGAAGTTAGTAACAAATTTTGATCTATTAATTAAATATTAAAGAGAAAATAATAGAATTATCAACTAGATATTATTTTAAAAGATTAAAGACACAAAAAAACCTAAATAATATCTAGTTCAACTAGTTTATTTATTTTCTGTTGTTAGATTTATTTGATCAATCATTTATAAAATTTATGAGTTAAATAATTTGAGTTATATTTAAATATCTAGTGTACACACTTAATAATAATTAATTTTTTTTTAATTCATATATACCTGTCATACTTGTCGAATCCATCAGTAATTTAGCACCAGTTGATAACAAGAAATTAATGAACTGGCTGTTAAAAAATATATCAACAAGTTAATAACTGTTTTTAAATATTTAAAGAAGTTTTTATGTATTGTCAATAATTAATATTGGACTATAGATTGAATAAGACAAGTTTTAATAAAATCTATTGACAAAAAATTAAGATCGATCTACATTATCGTGTTAATAATCTCAAGTGCAATAGATTTTACTTGTTTGCGATAGTAAAAGTGATAATTTTTATTTGACTACCATGGTATATGGAGTATAACAAATATATGTCATGGTAACGTGAATGTACTATATGTATAACTTTAAAATTTGAACTTCAACTGGAAATATTTTATTATTTAATATAAATTAAAACTCACACTAGTAGCAACTTAATACCATTTTTTTTGTTTTGCAAAAGCAAATATAGATTTTTTTAAATAAAATTCTTTAAATATAATAAAAATGAAAAAAATAACTAATAACATATTTGTATTGTCCATGGTTACTTACTTGTAATAAGTGTTTGATGAAAAATACGCTCAAAATTTGATGTATAACGTTTACTTATTATGTGACCTTATTTCAAATCTAATGTTTAAATATGCATTAAATTCAATATAATTTCATAAAGGCTGAGTTAACAGTCGTGAATTAATATATTATGCATAGTTTTAAATGAATACTGAAGTATTTAACATATTACATGGGTCATAGTAATGTAATACTAATGATAGTTTAATGTCGATACACGGTCAAACAAGCAGTTGTTATTATTATTCCTTTCTCAATACAATGATAAATATTTGCAGTTTTACAAAAATAGAAACATATATATATATATATATATTAAATATAATTTATGGGAAACAGTGATAGATTTTAAATTAAATCATAGACTAGTTAGGGCCAACAACTTATTCTATCAACAAAGTATTATATGATTGCTGTTCTTAATAACACGTAGTAATTTATACGTGTAAAAATAACAATATAGTACACAAAGCACAATAATTATGCTTAAATAAAGGATAATCTAAAAAATTAATTATTAATTTATCAGATTATCCTTTATTTAATCGTAGACAATTCGAGGCTCTTAAGATTTTATTTCCTAAGCAGCTCTTATTTATTATTGAAAATACAAAATTTCAACAATTACTTAAATATTCTTAATAGGAAATCGAATTTTGTAATCTTACACAATAAAATTTTAAATTCCTGTAACATTTATCATTTGCAATAGGGTTTCATACTAATTTCTGATAATAATTTTAAATAGTTCAACTAATGTGTAGCCATTGATAATAAATACTTTTTCTTTATTAACCTTAAAAGTCATTAATAGTTAATATGTCTATGTTATAAATGTTAATAAATCATTATCTATGGTTCTGGTGATCAAAAGTGATAATTCAAATGGGCGCCAAAAGCTATCATTCAAATGTTTTCTTTAGTTTCTGATTAAAATTAAAAAAATCCCCTCCATCCTTGAAATTGATAAGTTTTTAATAGTGAATGGTAAATAACAATTATAATAAACCATTGTATATAATTCTTTGTAATTCTATTTTTTGCACATAACAACTTTTTACAAATGTTTTAATTTTTAAGGTGGTGCGCATTTTTGGTTTTCTAATTCTACTGTATCATAAATTGTAAAACATTGTTCATTTATTATTTTTATTGATGACTTTTGATAAAAAAAAACTAAATATCTGTAGTGTTCTGTGATTGGTGAATTTCATATTATATCATTTTTCCTTTATTGAAAATTTAATTTTTAATAATATTTGTTTGTAGGATAACGACATCAAACATTGACAGTTTCCTAGCATTTGGCAAATTTCATGCTTTAAAGTTCTGATAATTAGGATATAACATGTTTTAGAGTAAATTTAGAAATAAAAATTTATTTAAAAACTATTAGATTAGTAATGATGTATCAAACATCTTTGCCAAAAACGGATTTTGCTAATGACTGATGACGTTACTCAAGTTTAAAATTATATAAGAAATTGTCTATTAATTAAAAATATTTTATTATTAGTATTGAATTCAAAAAGTTAGTTTTACAAAACAAAAATGACATCTAATAAAAATACAAAGAATCAAGAAAAATGGAATGAAGGTCTTTCTGATGAACGACTTGCTGTATTAATGAGTCCCTTTAAAAATAGAGAAGTAAATGAAGTAAACTATGATAGTAAAATGAAGTTTTGGAAAGAAGCAATTATAGCTGAAAGTATACGTCGACATAAATGTTCATATTCTGCCAGTGAACTTAAGACATGGTTTGTCTATCAAGGACGTACACCCATGTGTCTATTGAATGTAATAGAAGATATGTATAGGTAAGAATGAACCATTTATCATAATCCACCCAATTACTTACAAAATAAAAATTATTTTAACGATATTGTATTGTGAAGGCAAGAGGGCTGTATCTATAAAAATTGTTTTGATATAAATGGTTTCAAAGTTTATAACCTCCAATAAGGGTTGCATTATGTGTTACTTTATTTTTAGCATTTATATTATTAAGTTCAAGTCAACTTTTATGTAAGCTTTTATATATTTAGATAGAGAATTATATAAAAACTATATCGAGAACTATATAAAAATGTTAAATATCAATTATGGCCCTCTTGCACTTTTAGTATAATATAATATATTTTTTGAATTACACATATTTTTCAATTTTACAATTGTTAAATTTTTTTTTCGGTTCATTCCTTATTCTATAAGGGTTTTATCCTTTTTTTTTAGTGTTAACATATATATTTAACTAGCTTATAAAACAAAAAATTACTAATCAATAACAACATTTGGTTTAGTACTTTGGAAGTTATTAGTATTTTAAAATATAGACTGAAGGTAAAACGCAGGTATTACTATTTTTATCATTAGACATTTCTTGGTCACACTTTATACCTATTAAATGTAAAAATGTTAATAAATTCTAAAATATTATTACAAAATTTGTTGTTGACCAGTCATTTTCTTAATTAGAACTAGTGAGACAATAGGGGTTTCCTTGGGTTCAGACACTTCCCTATTGTCATGAAATTGTAGTAGTGGAGAAATGAATCTCACCACTATCTTGTTTATATCTTGTAATAATCTTATCTTCATTTTAAAAACTATATAGTCCCTCATACACAATTTTTAATTATGCTACTGATTAGATCATTTTTTATTTTATGAGCTAGTTAGATATGTATGTTATTACTTAAAAAAATATAACTGACACCTTAAAAATATAAAGAGGCGAATTGAAAAATATATGTAACTAAAATAGTCAAAAAAAAATTTCCAAAATTATTTGAAATTTTATATGTTAACTGAGTGATTTATGATGAACAGATTATTCTATACAGCATAATTTTTATTTTCATGTAAATTCCAAAATAACAAATTATTTTTAAACTAGAGCTAGAATTATACATTAAACCAAATTATTTTTTATTTCAAATATCATATACTTGTTAACAGAGACGGTACCATTAAGTCAAAAACTGAATTTCAACAAATGCAAAATCAAACTCAGTGTAGCTGGTCAAATTGGGCAGTAAATACATTAGTAAAGAATCCATTGTCATGGTCAGTTGGCAAAGTGAAAAATTCATTAGTATCATCTTCAAAACCTTTTGATGATAAAACTGACTATGTAAATCTTCAACTAGTAGAGGTATATAAACCACAATTTTATATTCATTAATTTAAGGTGTATATTTATTTATTTTTATCTGTGCTAGAGTCAAGCAAATGAACTATTTAGTGTGTTAGCTGTGAATGAAAAATCTCTAATTTTTTTTATGGATGACATTCAAAAACGTCTCAATGATCTATGGAATGATGATATATCAATTCAAACTACAGAATTAATAGTACACTCATTAGAAATTTGTAATAAAGCTTATGTTGAACACGGGGAACATTTAATTGCTAACAAAACTCTGGTTAAAATTGCCGGTTTTGGTAAAAATGTAGAACCAATATCTGATCTAGAAAAAAATTTTTTTAAACTAAAGGAAGCAGAAAAAATATTAATTGGTGAAATTAGTAATTTAGACAAAGAGAAAGAATCTCTTATTAAAGAAGCAAAAATGTATGTTGCTAAAAATATGAAACCTATTGTAAGTAATTAAATCATAGTTAAATTTAAAAATATATTAAGTTTTTACCTAAAAATTTATTCCAAACTTTAATAGGCCCTTTCATATCTACGAAAAAAAAAAGAAGTTGAAAGGCGAATTGAAAAACAGCTCAATTCACTCGACAATATTCAAGCAATGGTTTCTAGAATTGAAGAATCAAAATATAACTCTGAGGTAATGTAATATTTATCATTTATTGTGCAAAACGATTACTAATTTATATGAACTTATAGGTTTTGAAATCTTATGGAACTGGACTGTCTGCTTTAAAACTATCTTCAAAAGACACTGGTTTAACAATTGATAATGTAGATGAAACTATGGCAGAATTAGCAGAGGTATTATAATTATATACCTAATAATATAAACCTTTGTGTATATATATATATATACAAATCTCATTTTTTATAATTATATATAATAGGGTGATTTTTATTTTATTAACTTTCATTAATCGATTTACGTACCCGCCAATTTTTTTCATAATTATATAAGTCATTTGGATAAAACTTACCCTCTTCAGGTGCCAAATCATAGTTGAAAATTCCCTCAAAAGGGTAATTTTTCAGTTTTTGATCATTGTTTTTAAAACTAACACACTTGGCGTAAAAATGTATGGAATATAAATTATATAATTTAATATTTTCTTCAAAAAAGGTATTTACGAAAATTTCCTAAAATTATTTTTACTTGCTCAAAAAATGAAAAAAAAATTGCTAAAATTAACTTTTTGAGAATAAATAATTCTTAACTTATGAAATAATCACTTTACAACAAAATGTTTCTTATAAAAAATATATAAAATTTAATTTTCTAAAATATTGGTCTTATATAAAATTATAGTCAGATTTATAGTTTTGCTATTTTAATAACACTAACGATCTAAATAAGATTCATTAAATTGTATATTCAGCATACTACAATTATAATTAGGATACTTCTTCCAATAGTTTTGTACGGACTGCAAAAAATTAAATACAATTATCATATATTATAGTGAATAAACCTTTGAAAAATTATAAATATTTTTATTTTTATTTGTAGTAAAAATTGATTTTGCTTTTCAACTTTGCTTAATATGCCATTGTAGTTATTCATTAGTTTTATATGACACTTGGTCATATCATGAACTACTACTATTGCAGCAACTATTTTTTTATCTTTTTGGAAGTCTTCCTAAAATTGTGGGTCTATTTTTATGTTAAATCGTCTAAAAAGCTATAGACTTATCTGTAATTAAGTCTTTCGATAAAAAATGTGACAAATCATCAATTTTTAAAATACATTTTTTTTTTCATCTATTACTTCAAATGATGCAGTTCTATTTAAAATTTTTAATATTTTTTTTATTCTATGGTTAAGCGAGTTTTGATAATTAAATAAACAGAACTTTCATTACTAAAATACCATAAGTGGTTTATAATTATTTTTATAGAAATTTCAGTTATCTGTTTATCATCTATTTTATAATTAATTAATGTTTTTAAAATATTATGTCATTTACTGGAGTTCAATTGAATTAGATACAGTGAACCAGTCTTGAAACTAATGTTTATTAATGAAACAACAGATTCTTTTTAAAGCCATATCTTCTGTTAGAATCAATTTAAACTGTTTTTTAAATAGCAAAGTTTTTAATGAATACATACCTTTTATCATTTAATATGTTAAGTAATGTACTTCAACCTGATAAAATATTATAATCTTTTTTAAAGTTTCACCGAGAATATTACTATAAGCTCTTAAAATTCTCTAGTCATTCCAAGAAAATCATTTTGTAATTTTTTTTCAGAAAATTGAAGTATTTTTTCTCTATCATTTTTTAATATATTTAATATATATATAATATTATGTTTACTGATATTCGACTAACACAAATGTATCTGTGAATTTTTTAAATATTTTTTATGTATATTGATAGATCTTACTTTTTGATAAAAGAATTCTTGGTAGAAATTTAAAAGAAATAAATTTGTCTGATCGAAAAAGTTTAGATTTTTTACCTAAACCATTTGTCCATTTAAAACACTTGTATTTTATGTAATGTTTCCATAAACTAGTTCAACTATTTAAGAGATACAAAATCATTCATATTTATTTACTAAACATTTATATCCCAATGTAATTTTTAAATACTTTTAGCTAAATTTGTATTTATGCATAGGTATTAGAAGAACATCGAGATATACAATCTGCTCTTGGCAAACATATAATTGAAGACAAGCATAATGAAAATGAATTAGAAGATGAGTTAGCTGATCTACTGAATGTAGATGAATCTATTTGTTCTAGCAAGGAAAAACACCATGTTCCTGGTAACTTACTTGAACTTTTTTTAAATGTTCCTTTTACAATTTTTTTTTATGATATTTTAGATTTACCAGAAGTACCAGACAACAGTATTGAAAATGAAGAATTTGACCTTGATCAAAGATTCCAGATGTTAAGAGAACATTAAATATTTATTTATTCCCTTTGCGCTAATCTGTACATACTACAAATTTTTAATAAAAATATCAATATATTAAAATATTACTGTACTTTTTCTTTCTAATGAACCCTGTCATATTCATTAAATTGGTACAAAGATTTATTAAGAAAAATGTATTTATTTTATTTATTTAACTCTATTTATGCTCTAAATTAGTGATTATTATTAAAGATGAATTTAACTCTGGGTGTTTTTATTTATTTATAAATTATTTTGATAAAAGTAATTTAAAAACATTAATGGCCATAATGATAATCTTAGATCATTTATAAATCTACTTTTAGTAATTTAAATTGTTACAATAATAGTTGAATTATGTTACTAAGTAAAAAATGTTTGTAAGTTTGTTACTTATCTTGTTTATTATGAAAAATATAACACTTACTCATAATAGTAAGAGATTGAAATTTTATTGTATTTTTTGAGTTATAAATAATATAGCTAAAGCAAAGGTCTCAAAACATTTTAAAATCACAAATAATAATTAATATCTCAATTTTTGAGTAAGTTTGAAATTGAAAAATTAAGTACTTTTCTTAATCTACTCGAAATTTATTTCAACGAATTTTCAGTCTACAATATTCAGATTATTAAGATATGAGTTCTACATAAAGTTTTCCTTTATGGTATATGTAAATACATACAAATGATTATAAATAAAACAATTTATTATTAAAAATTATGATACTATAATATAGTATAATCTTAAAAATGTGTTAATATGCTATATTATAGCACATTAACACATTTTTATGAGAATATTAACATTATGTTAAAGATAGTTTAAAAAAATAAACTTCAATTTGTTATAATGCTCATTCAGTAGTTTATATTTAAGACAATGCTTATGATTTGAATATTTTATTTTTTAGCTTAAACTAATACAAAATAAAGAAAGTAAAAATTACAAAATCAAGTAAGAAGTTAGAAATATTTGCTATTCATTAATCCAACATTTATTTATATAACTTACTGAGGCTCATGTATGTTTTATAATATCATTTAAGTAGTATATACACATTGAAGGAAGATACATGAACCCATAGTAGGATCCGTTGTCTATATAGACTATATGTTGATAAATTTGTTTTTATTGGTTATTATTAGAGTAAAAAAAAAATTTTATCTCGATACCAAAATCCAAAATTATATGTTGAGGACCTTCACACAAGAGTAAAGATTGTCATTATAAATAAAAAAATAATATAAATTTTTAATTTAAGTTCTATTTTAAACAATTATTTAAAAATTAATATAAAATGTAAAAAAAATGGAAAAGAAAAAACCACTAAAAATGCTGATAAAATGAATAACATTTTATAATGCTTTATTAATTTGTTATGTTTAAATTAACAGTACCAATAGATAAATTGGTATAATATTAAAATAAGTTTTAACATACTATTTTAAGTTTAAATAAAAATTTTGAAGCCTGCAAGTGATCAATAACAGAAATATATATCTAATATAATACACCACTACTGTATTAATTTAAACAATTACATTTGATGTTTATTCTGTTTACAATCAATGATTTATCTAATAAATAAAAGCTTATTATTTCAAATATTGAAATTTCCATTATATAAAATAAATAGAATCTTACAAACTCAAAACATCTTTTTAATATAATATAATATATTCTTTTAGAGCATTATAAATTACAAAAAAAATTCTGATTTATTATGGAAATAATTGTTTGTCTTATATAAATACTATTTTTAAATGTACCCGTTAGGCCTGTATTTAGAATTTTTTTTTATCTTTTAATAAAAATTATATTTATGACCTTTTTCTTCTCAAAATTCATCAATATGAATTTTTTTAATAAAATTTTAATTAAACAATACTAATGATGTTTATGTTTCAAATATATTTAATAGCATTTGAGCAATAAAATAAAATTGTATGCAAGTGTTTAACTGATTGATCCTTGTAATTTTATAAAGTACAAAGAATTTAAACTACAGACAGTAGAATAATGAGAAAAATACATTTTAGTTATTTAAATCCAATAAAATTAATATTAAATACTTATTTACACAAAATTATACTAAAACCAAATCAAATACTACATCAAAAAATGTTTTTGTTTATCAATATACAAGAATAATAAGGTTACTGTAATATATTTTTAATTAAATTGCTAAACAAAATATATTTTATTCAGACTTAGGGAATTTTCTACAAATGGTATACAATGTAATATTTAACATATCATATATAATTAATATTACTTGAGATAGGAGTTGCTCACATATTATCATACAAATTTAAAAGCTTTATGAAGGAGTTAATAAAATACCAATTTGTCAATATTAAGAATGATTGGATTACATCTAATTAGATGAGACATATTCCAAAATATTATAACTATGCACTATTACAACACCCTGTTAATTTAATTGTAAGTGTGAATATTTTAACTCTTTGAACATTTTTTTAATTTAATAATAATAAAACAAAAATCAAATAAATAAAGTATTTATTGAAAATGATTACAATTAATGGGTAATTTAAGGTTTCCTTTTTAGTTTTTATCAGCATTCCTATAACCTCATGTTCAGTAAATTAATTTTTAACAAATTTTGTTTACAAACATGCTTATCCTATGATAAATTGTACCTATTTTAAGTTACCCAGATGTAATGGGATTCTAAATGTGAAATACCTAATAATCATCAATATCATAAAGTTCATTTGGATCCAAATCATCACATTGCATACTTTGGAAATCAACTTTATAACGTAATAAACCTGTAACATAATAAAAATAGTAATGTTTCGGAGAATTTCTTATTAAAAAAAAAAATATTCAAAATTATAAACACAAAAATATAATTATTTCTATTGCATAAAATATTCTAGTGTTTTGGCACTCAATTATTAGCTTAATAAAAGTTACTTATTATTAAAACATACAAAAATTATACAAATTTTACTTTATTAGTGATTTTCAGCAATAGTTTAAATCAAAACAACAAAATTATGAACAAAAGAACAGTAAAGACATCATTTCAATACAAATATCTTTTAAGCATAACCCATTTTGACCATAAACAAACTTAATCACTTTTTCTCACACCTGCGATATTTTTAAATATATACATACCAAGGAGACTAATATTTATTTTTGTTAACCAGTATAATAACCGTAACCAGAATGAAAGTGAAAAATATTTTGAGATAATCGTAATAGGAATGCAAAATATACAATTTAAAGACTAATCATAATAAAAGAAATTGTGCTAGAATTTTAAAAGCAAAAAAATATATCATTTAGAACATGAACATAAGTTTGATTTTTTAATACCATAATTTTAAAAATCAACCCTTTCCTAGTTTTAGATAGCTATAGCTTGCAAATATCTTTTAATAGATATTTTATAACATGTTTGAAACTTCTAATTAAATGCCAATTATACATTCATGCAAAAATTCATACTTTGTATAACCAAAGTATTGACTAAATTAATACGTGTAAAATAAAACTTATAACAGTTAATTAACTGTGTTCATAAAAAAACTAAAATTGTATAAAATCACTTAATACTAGTTTATAATTTATATTTCAAATGAAAACGTTTCATCATATTAATAATATTAGATTTGAATTTTTATTTTAATTATTTAACTATCTTGTAATAAAAATGGATGGCTTGTGTGAGAAAGAAATTATAAAATTAAAATTGATAGAGACCATTAAATTTATACTTTTTAATTTATTAAGAATATTGTTAAAATAAATGTTTGCACATATTTTTAAAATAACCTATTTTAAAGAAGACATTCACTATTGATGATTTTTTTATGTTTCTACATAACAAAATGCCTTTGTATGTAATACTCACACAAAAAGGTATTTACTAACAAACAGTATTTGTTTTCGGGTTATTTTAAGTTCAAAATAATTTAAAGGTTTTTTTTTTTAGCTGCTCATCTAAATTAATATTTTTATTAAAAATAATATCATTATTTATTAAATATATAATACTATTTAAAATAATTGACAAATAATTTTATGCTACTATATTTGATATCAAAAAATAAATAAAACCTTTTACAAAGACTTAGTGTGTAAAAACTAAGTATAACCAGGCTTAATCATGCATTTAACTAATATGTGTAATCATTATAAATACTAATACACAACACACTCACAGTAAATGTTAATAAAATCTACCTTAGGTTAGTAAATTAAGTTTTTAGTAATCATCAAGATTCACATCGTCCAATGGCTCATCCGCTTGCAAGGACTGAAAATCAACCTTGTAGCGGAGAATGCCTGTTAATAAATTAAATTTTTTTTATACAAATACATTTAATTTACACAAATTTAATTAGGAACAAAATTCTTATTGCTGATGTATAAATCATCAATTTTAGATTAACAAATAATTTATATCATCCTGCATTGATCAAAATATATTTTTTTTTTTATTATTTGGCAATATTTTATTACCTATTCCTGTATTTTTTTTTTACTACTATTTAAAATTAAAATTCTATTCAGTATTAAGAAATTATAACTATTATTTTAATATAAAAAAAAAATGTTGTTAAAATTAATATCAAAATTATAATTATTTATAACATGTAATTTACATTTAGTTTCTCAAGTAAAATAATATTAGTGTAAAAAAAATTGAAAACCTATTTAGCTCCATATTTAACATATTTATTTCAAACAGAATGGAATTTAAACAAGATTTATATCAAAAAAAATTATTTATTTTGAGTATAACACATTTAGCAATTGAACTAAATAAAAATTTTAATTAAATAAAACAATTAATAGAAATTTAGCTAGCTAGCTAAATAATCATATTTCATTTATAATAATGTGTATTTTTATTATTAAACATAAAAAATTAAATAAACAAATTTTGTGTACAAAATATTTTAATTCTATATGAGGCAGGATGTAAAGAAATGATTCCTACAATTTCATACAATCATTAATACTTAAAATTTCAATTTATTTGATACTTTTTTCAGTAAAATATAGCATCTAAACAACTAACTTAAAATGATTATTTTAATACTTAAAAATACTAACCTCCAATACCACCAAATCCTCTAACAAACTGTGATCCTTCTTGAGACTTATCAGTAATAATTTCTAAAGTTGCACCAAACATTTTATAATTATTTGCTAACCATTCTAAAAGTGGCTGGCATTCCACTAACTCAAGTTCTACTCCCGTCTGAAAAAAAAATCCAATTCTATAGCTATGAAACCTATGTGACAAAGCATTAACTTTATTTGTATTAATGTAACAATTATTAAAAATATCAAAAATCACTATGAAAAATTTTAATTAATGTAACATACATCTTTTTCTGTAAAATGTGATTTATCTTTTTCTTGTTCAGGAGTCAAATGCAATATTTTTTCTTCTGATGTTGTATGATTCTTCAAAACATATCTTTGGATATCCAAATTCTCCCAACATATTAAAGTTTCAACAGATCCAAGTTCAAGTGCTTTAAGAGTATCATCTACTCCAAAACAATATTTACCAGTATCTTGACTAATTTCATCAAAGTAACGTCCTGAAAATTTAATTTTGTTATTGTACATAAAAAATAGTTTTTATTTTTGAATTTAAAAGAAAAAAATATTTAATTTAAAATAATTATAGAATTACCAATTAATTTTTTTTCTTGGATAAATTTTACATTTTGTAATGATTCGGCAGCAAGTTCAATAGCTTGGTTAAAACCATTTTCACCTCCATATGACACATCAACTAGCTTAATAATTTTAGCTTGTAACCGCTATAGTAAAAATTTAAGATAATAATAAAATCATAAATTACTTAAAGCATGTTGAACATGATATAGGTTTGCATCACATTAGGCAAAATATTTATCATTTAATATAATAATAAATTGATTAACAAACAAGTTTGTTTTTATATTAAAAAGTATAATTATAAATATACAAAATATATTATTTTAAATTAAAAATTCAATAATATTTCCTAGTTTTTAAATTTTTGATTGACATAAAAAATTAAAGAAGTATGTGACAAAAATACTTTAAAATTATATTTATTTGCTAGAGCAACTTTTTCAACTAATTAATTAATTGAAAAAAGCTATTATTTTTTAATTTAAGTCATAGTTTTTTTATAATATAATATTTCAGATTTTCTAAATATTGTGTTCATTATAATATAAAATAAAAATAAAAACCATATCTTCAAAAGTTCATATTTATTATACTCAATACAACTTAAGAAAACACTAGTTGGAGTACAAAAACTCATTTGTTGCTATAAATTCCTATGATAACTTTATAGCTAAACATAACATTGAAGGACGTCATTGTCTGACCAAAAAACAAAGTAATAAAGAGTTAGTATTTTTAAGTACACAAGTGATATATTCTGAAGTTGTACAAAGTATACAAAACATTAAAATCAAAAAAAATAATATACATACAGGGTCAAACATATCAGATTGACTAAGTTCAGTTTTGAAATCTGCACTACCAGCCAATATTAAACCAGCTATATTAGGTTTATCATTGGTTATAAATAACTGAGTTGCAACTTCTGCTACTTTACGCACATAATTGTGTCGTTTTTCCATACGTAAACGGGCAAAACGCAGAGCAGACTGACCTCCTCTACCGTGTTTTTTTGGTAAATCAACTGTAAATTTATGGAGTACCTAAAATAAAATAAATATTTATTTAATACATAATTATTGAAAAATAATAATTAGTATAATGAATTATAGCTTATTATTTATTTAAGTTTAAACTTTAAAACGTTAAGGTTTTTTTCTAATATTTTTAAAATAGTTATTTATCAAATTAAACATTCAACAAAGTTGAATACCTAAATTTTTATTACAATACATTTTATTAATCAATAATTGTTGTCAAGCAAGCACATTTCAAAAAATTTGTATTCTACAATTTATCAAGCATAATCTATCAAAATAAATTCAAAGTGTGCAATTCAATGTGATATAACAGAAATTATTGCCATAGTCAATAACAAAAATTTTTTTAATAAATTTATAAAATAAATTTTTTTTTTTTTGTTTAATGAAAAATTAATGTTTATTTAATATATTTTAAAATTCTAAAAGTTTTTTTAACATTTTAAATTGTCCAATTTTGCAAAGGGAATACCATATTGCCCAATCTAAGTAATCCAAATAAGTTAATTATCTATATAAACCAAAATATATAGGCAGAGTATATAATATCTGTAATTCTACATTGACCGTAACATAAAGATATAATCTTACTATTTTAATTTTCTGTTTTTCATAAGGAAGTATTTTATACACCCTATAATTATTTTGGTTCATAAAAGCTTTAGCAGTTTAAAAGCTTTGGTTTTTTTTTAAATTTATAAATTTTAAATTTTTTAAATAAGTTATTTTACTTCTCTAGTGTTTCCTTGAAGTGTTCCAAATAAAGCACCATTACCATCCATAACAATAAAACCAAATTTATTATCATCAGCTAAAAGAGCTGTTAATGCTTCAGTATGGAACTATGGAAATAAAATATATATTACTAATAAAATAAACACAATACATAAAGAAATTTTAAATTAATATTTTACCTTATTATCACAAAGGTATAGTGAAGTATTAATAGGTTTAAATGGTTCAAAATCAATGTTAACTTTTTTTTCTTTACCTTCTTCTGTCACAATTGTCCCACAATAAACAACTAATCCGTTTGGAGGAACTAAAAAAAAAAATTAGAATTTTATTAGAAGTTCACAAAATTAATTTTTAATTCTTCAAACCTTTAGTGTAAAGTTTTAATCTTTGTTGTACTGAAGTAATAGCGCCTAATACAGATAATCTATTGACTCTAGATTTGATATTTGAAGCAGTACCATATTCATCAGCTAACATTTTACTAACTCTTGAAATCTGATCTTTAGGTGGTATAATGAGAGAGATCATACTTGTTCCATTTCTTAAAATTAAAATATTTCATTTAATTATTATAAAGAGAAAGCAAGAAATTGTTAGCTAGAAAAAGTAAACCTGTAGCCCTTTAAATAATTTTCTTATATTTTTTTAATGAAAAACATAATTTTATATCTTTAAAAGAATTAAGATAAGGATGATTCTAAGTTATAATTTAATTAAGATTTATAAAAATACAAACACAAATTTTAATTTGTCATATTATTATGCAGTATTCAATATTTTTAATAATTAAAGATGATTGATTTAAGGAATATAAGCAGTTATATGCTGCTATTAGACTTTTGAAAGCTATACTATTAGATTAAGTAGTGATTACAGTAGAATATTGGAATAATTAAACTAGTGGTAAAATTTCCTGATAGAAAAATAACTTTGGAAGCTTAACTAGTAAAATTTAATTTTTTAAATAAAAGTAAAAGAATTTAATACAATATAAATTTGTTATCTGTAAATTAATTAAGAAAATATAATTAAACTAAAAAATCTGTACTAATTGATGCAATGAGTAACAACAAAATTAATTAATATTTTAGATTCTTATTTATTTTGAAAACTTTTAGTATAAAATATTATTTTAATATTTTAGTATAGTCATAAATTGTAATGGCTCACCCTCGAGCCATCTCCAAACTTTTTATAAGTTTCTTGATCTTCCATATTTCTACATTACGATCTGAAGTGGTTTCTTCGCCGTTGGTCGTCATATTTCTTTAAAAATTTACTATAGATAGATGGTAAAATGTGATTTGGTGGCGAAAACGAAGTAGGTTAGAAAAACGCACACTTAATCACTAACACGATTGCGGATGAAANCGTTGGTCGTCATATTTCTTTAAAAATTTACTATAGATAGATGGTAAAATGTGATTTGGTGGCGAAAACGAAGTAGGTTAGAAGCACGCACACTTAATCACTAACACGATTGCGGATGAAAAGAGAGACGAGAATCGCGCGTTCAATTGAATCTCCTGCATACAGCACACAGTACACGGTGCAGTGATAACGTGTTAGCTAGAAGTTGTTTGCCACGTTCAACAACATGCGTGATTGAACTTCCCTAGGACAGTTGAAGAAAGTAAGAAGCTTGTGATAATTAAACAATTTTCCTGGGATAGCAAACGTTTCTTACTACTTAAACTAAGCTTGTATAATCATTACAAACATTCTTTAAAAAAACTAATTTTTGTGACAAACACATCCAGCATGTAATATAGTATATACATAAACTATGTTAAGTATTACATGAACGTCGTACAGAAACCACTCCTACTTTTGTAAATTTCGCCAACACGTGAAAAAAGAATCAATGAAGGGATGAGAGCTGGGAAGTCACCAATAAAAAGGTCATAACGATTGCAACGACATCTACGAACTTAAAATAACTTCCTGTACTTAAGACGAAAATTTAAAAAAAATTGAGCATAAACCGTAAAACTAGATAAAAAGGAACATAACTTTGTTTGTTACTACAATTTAAAGAGTATTAACTATATACATACGAAAATTAATTTATTCTACTTTGGTTTTTTTAATTGATCACACTGTACGTTACAAATTTAATATTCTTATCAGTCTTATAAATCTACAGATAAAAAAAATGTATTTAATATTTAAAATATTTAAATTTACAATATAGTTTCTTCAAGCTTCACTTACTTATAATAAACTATGAGTACAGATATCTGTATACACCCGTGATTACACCAAATGTATGATATTTCTGAAACCAGCATTTAAAAATGAAAATATTGTATTCTTATAATAAATATTACTCTCAATTGACGCTTTTACAATAGAATTTTTCTAATATCTAATTGATATTATCTGTGTAGCTTTTTAAATTAGAGTGAAACTGATAATTGAGACTAACAAATTTATATTTAATTATTTTTTATTAGAATGCCAAAAAAAAAACAGAAATCTTATTCTGCAAGATCTGATAACAACAAAAAGTGAGTAATTTATTCTTACAAACAATATGAACTAGTGAATTATATTTAATTAATAATTATAAGGTAAAACTAAATTACATTTAAAAATATAATTTTCTTTTAACAATGATAATTAGCTATTATCAATACTTCACAATATTATATCTTATATATAATATACTTATAACATAAGTTATAATTTTTCTTAAACTGTTAATTCAGGACACTTAAAATAGGATTGCTAGATCCATAGTATAGAAGCCTAGCTTATTTGGAAGCTTGAATTATTTATTAATGAACAATTAAAATGAATATTTGTTAAATATCTTTAAAAATGTATTGTTTATTTATTTTTGAAGGAGTTTAGAAGATTGTTTAGAAGTCATTGCCAATTCTGAATTTTGGACAGCATTTTTAAATACTTTAAAAGAGTTGTTAAAAAATCTCAACTTATCCTCGATACTATGTTATGGTTTGGGAAATTTTATGGATAGCATTCAGTCCCGATATCAACTAAGTTTACTTTTATTAATTAAAAAAGAATTCAATGTGAAAAATTGTTTAATTTATGATCCTAAATTTACAAATGATGAACAAGTTTACCTTTCTGAAAATGGTTGTAAATTAATTGAACATAATGAGGAAGGTAAAAGACAGTTATTACCAGGAACATTTATTTATATGCCACATTGTCCTAAACAACTTTTAAATAATTTACTATGGAGAAATTGGGACAAACATTTATTAATGAAATCTATGATTTTATGTAATAGTATAGATCAAACCGTGACATCAAATCCCAATAGAATTTTAGACAAGTATGCACATTACTTAATGAAAATTGCTCCTTATACTAAAGAAGTGCTTATAAATGAAAATTTCATATACAATGATATTTTTAATGACATGTCTCTTCATTATTTTCCCAGTGAAAGATTAGAAGAATTAAACAATACATTTTGGGAGACGGACATAGAACCAATATATAACAATGAAGAAATTGAATTTATAACAAAGTTTGAATGTTTATCTTTTCAAAAACAACAAGTATAAATATTTATACATAAATGTTTCACAAATTGAAATGATTATTAAATAATTTATAATAAATAAATATTATTGTTCATATTCTTTTTTAATAAATTTTGCAATAGTATTTAATTGAATGTTAGTTGTTCCTTCATAAATTGGACCAACTTTACAATCTCTGTAGAACTTCTCTTGTGGAAAATCTGTAGTGAAACCAACACCACCCATCCAGTTAATACATTCTGACGTAACTTTACCTGCAACTTCTAAAAACCAAATATTTGTGTTAACTTCAAAAAAAAAATTAGTTTTAGATACTTTTGAACTATAATAAGAAAGGGTAATCAAATTTTAATTATTTCTATGTATAATTTTATAAAATAATCTAAGTACATAATAATACACTTGTTGTGTAGAATTTATTATGCAGTAAAATAAAAAATGTATACAAAACTGTTTAATTAACTATGTAACTATAGGCTGTTTAATATATATTTACACCTAAATTATAAACATAAGAAAATTTTGTAAAAAAATCTTTAATCCACAAATTAGCTTGTAAAATAGAAAATGACTAATCGATAGCTACTTCTGGAGACGTATTTCAGAAATTATTAATAATTTAAAGTATTGAAAGGAGATGATGACTATTTTTATCATTTGACATATTTTAGTCTCAATCCACTTGACCTCTAGGTATAAAATTGTTAATAAATTCTGAAATACTAGTACAAAAGTTGTTATTGGCCATTATTTTCTACTTTATAATCTAATTAATTATGTATTTTGCTATTAAAAAAAATAAAGTTTACATCCTTATAAAGTATAAGGGTTATATAAAAAATATATATTATAATAAATAAATGGATATTCTATGTGACTAATAGGCTAAAAAAAAATATTTTCTAGAGAAATTGAGTAGCTAGTGTTAAAAAAATCGCCTTGATTGTGATTTTTCAATTAATATAATAGTTATAAAAATTAATTAATACCCTTTTTTAGATTAAATTTAAATTGTAATCTATTTTTCTTAAAAATATTTAGTGCCAACCTGAAGCATAATATTTGGCTTGAGCTGCCTCTTTAACAAATGGTAAACCAGCCTCAACTAATCTCGCTGTATTGTAAACTAGCAATCTAGCAGTTTCTACTTCTGTAAATGCCCTAGCTATTTGATGTTGCATTGACTAAAATAATAAAATCTTCAGCTATTTTGTTACAAAAGAACATTACACTATTATATTTACTTGAAAATCGAAAATACTAGTTCCGAATTGTTTTCTCTCTAAGGTATACGGAATCGTGTGATCTAAACTTCCTTGTGCTATACCAACCATTTGTGCGCCAATTCCTATACGACCTTCATTTAAATATGTCATAGCTATTTTGTATCCATCACCTAATTTTCCAAGTATGTTATCTTTATGAACCTAAATAAAAAATTTATATTTGTAATTTTTTTATTAATTAAAAAACAATCTACATTATTTTATAATATGTCAACAATATTTCAAATGAAATATTACATAGAGACATATAGTCAGAAAAAAAACAAATGTTTGAAATTATCACGAGTTGGACATTTTTTATAAAAATTTTATTGTAATATTTAATTTTCTATTTGTCTACAAAAAGAACAAAAAAAATCATATTTTATGAAACCGATTTTCTCTTTAGTTAAAATAAAACTAGAATCATACTTCAGATTTCTAAATTAAAAAATAGCCAATATCTTTTTTAACACATAAACTAGTTAATTTATAATTTTATAGTTGTTTTATTATTAAGATGATATTATTATCTTTAAGCATAATAATATGAAAGCTATTAACTTCGGGTATCATGAATAATTTAAAAATCATACAAGCTTTAATGTCTAACATTTTTTATCTTTAAATCACAACCAGGCAATATCTAATGTTTAGATATTTGGACTTACTTTGACATTATCAAAATGAAGTACACACGTACCGGATGCTTTCATACCCAACTTATCTTCTTTCTTAGCAACAGTAAATCCTTCTTGATCCCTCTCCACAATAAAACAAGATAACCCTTTATGTCCCTAAAAATTTTTTATTTACATTGGTTATTTTGTTAAGAAATAAGCTATAGTTAAGGGCAATCAGATACACCTTAGAAGGATCAGCATTGGCAAAAACATAGAAAATCCCTGCAATATCAGAATTTGAAATCCACATTTTTGTTCCATTTATAAAGTAATGATCTCCATCTTTTTTTGCTGTGGTTTTTAAAGCAAACGCATCTGAACCAGAAGAGGGTTCAGACAAACAAAAACTACTAACCTAAAATATTTTATTTAAATAAGGTTCAATTTTAAATTTATTTATTGATTTTTATGTTTACCGTATTCTGAGCCAAGCGAGGGAGATATTTTTCTTTTTGCTCTTTATTACCAACTTTCAAAATAACATTGTTACCTAAAGTATTCTGTAAGTCAACTAAGACTGAAACTGATGGATCAACTTTTGATATTTCCTCAACAGTTAATATACTAGACATAAAAGAAGAACCTGATCCTCCGTATTCTTGATCTATTTCGATTGCCATGAACTGTAATAAAAGGTATGCAATTAAAAAAAAAATCAAATTATTAACATTAGCATTATTATTTATCTTACACCATTTTCAAATAATTTTTTCACGAGATTATCATCTATTTTATGTTCTTGGTCCATTTTTTTTACCAATGGTCCTATTTGATCCTGAGAAAACTTTCGCACTGTAATTTTTATCAGTTATCGTACAATTTATAAAACCATACAAAACTAATTAGTTACATATAAAAGACTGTATTTAGAAATTTTAAGAAAAAATTAATACATTTTTTCCCCCCTTTGATCAATATATGCCAATATTTTACGTGGTGTTTTTCTATAACATATTTAAAAATTTTGTATGAAACGGATCAAATAACATTTAAAACGTGGAGCAATGGGGAGTTTCATTCCTCCACTACCCCTACTACTATGGTATAAAGTTTACAGAAGATCTGACATCCCCGTATAAACCCCAATATATTCTCCTTATATAGAGTATTCATTAAGTAAGGAAACGGGTTCTATTGTTCTCATTGTTTATGACAACTGTATGTTTCCTTACTTACTGAACACCCTGTATATCAATACTACCATCATAATCATTATACTTTAGTGATGATGATCAGTAGTATACACTAAATTAAGAAAATATTTTGTTCCCAGTTTTATTGTATAGAAAATATGCAAACAAAAAATCATTATAATACAATTATGAAATTATACATATCGGCCTCATTTAAATCTCAGTCATAATGAGTCTAAATCTAGGTTTATTTCTTTGTTATTGTAATGTATTACTCTATAACAAGATTAATGCACTTCTACATTTGACAAAACGACGTATTCATTGTATTTTATAATAAAAGCATCCAATCATAATAGGATTAGATTCTTTTACTATTATTTAAACGTAATTAATTAATTATCATAAAAACTAATGTTTAAGTACTTACTATTTAAAAAAATTAAAACTCTGTCTAACACTGACAGATATTTGGGAAGTCAACTAATAATTAAATAAATAAGGAGAAAAGTACTAAATTTAATCAATAACATATTTGAATTATTTTTCTGAGAGAAGAGATTGAGATGAAAAATTGTTAATAAACCTTAAAATAAATGATTTTTCAACATTTAATTATGTTATCTACTTCCCTTATCCACCTCTATTTACACCCTAAATTTACTATGGTATACTTGGTATACCATAGTATGCGAAACATACGTGCAATTTAGAGCAAAAATGGTATAAGTCGATTTTAATTATTTTTCAGAAAAGTCATTTAAAAAAAACCCAGCACAGTGGGGTGGCGGCACAGTTGGGTCCAGTCTAGATGATATCTGACAGTGATTAAAATCACTATCATAAAAAACGCTTCGATGCAAATCTGTAGATAGTGTTTAATTTAAAAAAAAAATTTGTCAAAAAAGTAGGTCAAGTGAGAGCTGAGAAAATAAATGATAGCTACAAAAAAAAACCACATAGTAAAATAATATTAATATAAATTTCTTCTCACGAGAGGAGACAACACTAATGGGATCCTTGATATTTATTGAAGTTATTGAATCTAAATGAGATAAAAATCAAATAAGTTAAACATTTTATTCTAACTCAAAAAGAATTAAGAAAAAATTTAGTGCCACGGGAGTGAAAGACCCAAGTGTTACCGTCTCAGAAACCGTACGTCGCATTCGTCACTTAATAAAAATGGAAATTTAGCTAGTTCAAATTTTAAAGTTATTTTTCTCGACTTCAAAGAAACAAAAAAATTTAAATATGTTTAACTTTTTATACTATGACAATTAGATTAATATAATATTTATGAAAATTTTTTCAATTTTTAAGGGTAATGTCTTCGACTAGAAACGATTTGTGATCTTTTGACGTATCATAAAAAGAAATCGGTTCGGTGAGAGCTGAGAAAAAGTGGTAACAAACAAAAAAAAATAAATAAATAAATAAAAAAAAACCCAGCACAGGCGAGTCGCATCACAATGGTGACGTTGGATCCAATATAATGATATCTGACAGTAATTAAAAATCACTATCAAAAAAAAACGCTTCGATGCAAATCTTTAGATAGTGTTTACTTTTAAAACATTGGTGGATTATTCCAAAAGCTACATGATCTGCTATTTCCTTATTAATATCCTGATTAAGATAAAGTATGTCGAATGAAAAAGGAATATAAATATAATTTCTCATAAAAACATTATGTTGATCCATATACTTTTCAATAAGTTATAGCATAATAAAGTTAAAAAACCCAGCACAGGGGGGTCGCGGCACAGTGGTGACGTGGCATAGATGGATCAAGTATAATGATATCTGACAGTAATTAAAATCACTATAAAAAAAGTTATAGCATTATAAAGTAAAAAATATAAAAAAGAATTTTTTTACAAAAATTGTATTTTAGCTTCGATGCGAAGCTGAGAAAGTTTTGGTTTTACTATGATGTGTTTTTTTTTTTTTTGTGTCTGTTACCACTTATTCTCAGTTCTCACCGAACCGATTTCTTTCAATGATACGTCAAAAGATCAAAAATCGTATCTAACCGAAGACATTACCCTTAAAAATTGAAAAAAATTCCCTCGTTCCCCGTAAATAGGGGAAACCTCCAAAAAAATTACAAATTTAAAAATCGCTAATTTTCGAAAATTTTTCAATTTTTTTTACTTAAAATTACTATAACTTTTTTAAAAATAACCAAATCAATATATTTTTTTTTTATATAGATGCATGATATCATTACCTTTCATTTAGTATATTTTTTTTTTATATGTGACCCTTTACTTGCCCACAGGGAGGGATTTAAAATGACAATTTTTTCACAAAAAATTAACTTTTTCAACTTGATTTTTGAAAATGTTCCGGAAGAAAAATTTTCGGACTTTATTTTATCTTCACGGTGAAAATGGCTACCAAATGCTATTTTTGTGTGAAAATTCTCGAATTTTTTTTTAACATTTTTAACTTTATAATGCTATGGCATATTGAAAAGTGTATGGATCAACATTATTTTTTTATGAAAAATAATATTTTTTAATAATCCCTTTTTCATTCGACATATTTTATCTTAATTAGGATATTAATAAGGAACTAGCAAATCATGTAGCCTTTGGAAGAATCCATCAATTTTTTAAAATTAAACACTATCTAAAGATTTACATCGAAGCGTTTTTTTTTTGATAGTGATTTTAATCACTGTTAGATATCATTATACTTGATCCATCTATGCCACGTCACCACTGTGCCGCGACCCCCCTGTGCTGGGTGTTTTTTTATTAACTTTATTGACTGTTTTCACCATGAAAATGAAATAAAGTTCGAATTTTTTTTTTTAATATTAAAGTATATTACATAAGCTTTAATTTATGATATATATAAAAGTGTCAGTATTTCCGGAACACTTTCAAAAAGTATGTTGAAAAAGTATACTTTCTATATGCATTTTTATATTTTGAACCCCCCTGTATTAAGGGAAATGGTCCGATATAAAAAAAAAGTATGTCGAATGAAAGATGTATACAAATATTATTTTTCATGAAAAAATTGTGTTGATCCATACACTTTTCAATAAGTTATATCATTATTAATTGAAAAATCTAAAAAATAAAATCGAGAATTTTCACACAAAAATAGCATTCAGTAGCCATTTTCACCGTAAAGATAAAATAAAGTCCGAAATTTTTTTTTTCCATAATAAAGTACATTACATTAGCTTTAATTTAAGATATATATAAAAGTGTCAAACTTTCCGGAACACTTTCAAAAGTTAAGTTAAAAAAATTGTCATTTTAAATCCCTTTGGGCAGGTAAAAAAAAAAAAATACACATCATAGTAAAACCAATACCTTCTCTGCTTCGCATCGAAGCTAAAATGTAATCCCAATAAAACAATTGTAATTATAAATGTCATAAACGCTATAATATTGTATCAAAACATAAGTTTAGTGTCATCGTTGATAAATATTAAATTTTTAAATTTGGAATATTTATTTTTAAATAAAACTCATTTAACTCAAAACCTACATGCATATTTACACAACTTTCGTTCTAATCTCTGTATAAAGTATAATTAATTAATTGTGCTTCACACAATATATTTAAAATAATAAAACATATTATTTTAAAGTTAGAGCACGGGGTAAAGTTAATCAATTACATTGCATACTGTTACAAATCTATTTTTAAGATTTTTATAAAACATTTTAAATGAAATATCTCTAACCTGTTTCTTTAAAAAATTGTTCATCTTCACTTAAAATTGATAATGGACCATGTCCTTGAACAGAATGACTTTTTCTAACGTTATTTACTGCAAAAGCATTAATTCCATTTTGAAATAAACGTTTCTGTAAAAATTAATCATATTACTTATCACAATAGTGTGTAAAAAATAAATATGATAATTATCATAGCTAAATTTATAGTATAAGTTGCAATTTAACAGGTCTAAATACATAGTATAATATACATTGACTCGCAAATAATTTGTTAAATATAAATTATTATAGTAAATGTAATTACATTTGAAAAAATATACAATATACTGTATAGTTACTATTCACTATTTATGTTTATTCTATTTAATAAGAAAATTTTTTGTATTCTTGGTGATAAATAAATAGAAATACATCTATTGTATTTTCTAAGAAATTTGCCAAATGTACCCTGTGTAAAGCATACAAAAGTTATAAAAAATGAACCCTCTAAAACAAATATTTTTGTAATTCGTGATAATTAAATAAAGATGTAAGATTGTAATAGATTAAGTACATATTTAAAATTTTTAAAATATAAAATATTTTAATGATTTTTTTATAATATTTTTTCCAAAAAAAAAATAATATAGTCAGGAACTAGCATGTGTAAGAAAAGACATACAAGGTATACGTTAAATACATATTGATTAAATTCTAATTATAATAAAAATCGTTATCATAAAATGTTTCTATAGAGATGTACTTGAATTTGAAGGCTAGGCTGAGTTAATGAGTTAAAATATTTAACTTAAATTAAGTTTAACTTGATTTCAAATAAAAATATATTACTTGAAAACATAACTATCTCTCATTTCAAAGGAAATATTACATAGAAAATAATGCAGTTATTTTTAAACAATTTTGAGCAATATAAGTTATAGCCAACAATTATATAAATTATTATAGTAATTTTAGAGAAAAAAATTATAATATTTGACACGATTCCCTCGAGCCGTATTGCTATTCACTATAAGCTGACGATGGACGAGAGACACCCTACAAATTTTAATATAATGTATCTGATAATATCAGAAACGTCTAACTAAATAAAAGTATAAATTAGTACATTTTTACACAAATGATATCTATAGTTTAATAATTTAGTTGTAAAATGATATCACAACTTTTAGAGCTGTTTATTTTTTATTATACTTCGTGTTTTTTAAATGAAGTTTGGCAAAATGTTATTTTGGAATAATTAACTACTAGAAACATTGATTTTGTTATCTTGATGGCTATTAAAGGATATAACCACTTGTGTTATCCACAATTATTAAATTCATATTACATAATGGCCAACAATTTTTTAGCATGTAAAATCAAGCAATTAATATAACATATTATAATATAATATATGATGTTATTTTACAAACATAAAATGTAATAATAATATGACAAAAATATATATTTTTGTTATTTATTTTCATTTAATTAAGATATAAATTTCTTAGTTGTATAATTCACGAAATGTATCAATCAAATTTAAATTTATTTTTTTTAACCAATATAATATTATATCGTTTAAAAAATTAAACTGTGTATAAATATATTAATATAAAGTTTATATCTTTGTAAAAATTAATGTCAAAACAATGGAATATATTAATTATAACTAATTATAATTATTATTATAACTTCATTATAAGAGTTCCGTTGTTGTATAAAAACTTAATTCTATGAATAAACTAGATAAACATTTTAAATCTAGTTTTAATATGGACAATTTTTTTTTTCTGACACTACCATAAATAATTATTGTATATCTTATCTATTATAATGTTTCTTAGATTTTATCAAAAATAAAGAGATCCAGAAAAAAAATTTTTGTGTTTAAGTGCATTAATAACTCATTAATTAATCAATGATAAATATTAGTAACACGTTTTTTCTCTTTTAACTAATGAGGGTGAACCGCACTGACTCTCATCGGAATATAAAAAGTCATGAATATTAATTTAATTATTTTAAATTGCCTTTACTAAAAAAAAAAAGTTTATTAGTAATACTAATTTCTTAAATTTTGTTTGCTATAGTATGCAAAATTAATTTTAAATAGGTTTCAAGGACACATTTTTCTTATAAAAAAATTTAGTTTAAGGATAAAAATATAAAATATAATTATATTACTGGACAACATACATTTTTTTACGTATGTTTTTTATAATTGATTTTTTTATATTTATATCATTGTTTAAGGTGTAACACATCTTATCTTGTCTTACCAAATTTTCGAACGCCAAATATAACTATTAAAAAACTAAGCCATTTTTTAAAAAATATATTTATTGTCATTATTTTATTTATAATTTAATGATTTATCGTTCAAAAGTTAAATATTGACTAAAAAATTAAAATTTACAAATCAGTCATCTGAAATACTGCCATCACTTATTGACCAAAATTGAACTTGGTTAATGTGTAAACCGTAACTATGTAGTTACTAATAAAAAACAGTTTCCAACGCTTTAAAATCTTATTTTTACAAATATTTTTTAAAAATATATTGATGATTTTACTTTAATACTTAACATAGAGTTATTTAAAAGTTAAAATAATTAAGATTTTATTATTTACCTTTAAATGATTTCTTAAAACTATGGATCTCATTTTAAATTTTTCGATGATTTATTTAAAGATAAAAATTGCTAAACAAAAAACACTTATAAAAAAAAAAATTAAAAACTTAAAAAATATTTATATAATAATTAATTTTGTTTGAAATAGCTGTAAGCTTTCATAAATATACGAGTTATATATATATATCAATGTTCCTATTCACTAACATCGACATCCAATTCAAGAATTTTATATATCTCAAACAAGTTATACTAACATGATAAATACAATATCAATTGAGATGGTTAGCAATTATCAAGTATACACTAAGGCCAAGTTATACAAATGTTGTCCCTACCACAAGTTATAGTGTTGTATAGTTTACGCTATTACGTCAATATTTATTATAAATTAATCGTGTTCCGTACGTATTTTATGAAAACTTTGGTTTCTTCTCTTATCATTTAGTTAAATTTTTTTCAACAGGAAAAAGTACAATGATTTTTTTCACATGCTATTGTATCAAGGAAAAGAGAAAAGTAGTGTGTCGGTCAAGGTAACAATAATCCAGTACAATCAATATAATTGTATAGTTTACAAAAAAAAAAATGAACTTCAATTATCTAGTGATTGGTAGTAGCTCGTGTGAATAAGCTACAATATATCATTCTATTTTCAGAATAACGTTGCTATTTCATAAATATAGTTACAATTCATATGATTTTTGATGTAAATTATGTATAATTTTACTTTTTGACTTTTTATATTAAGTAGATATTAATAATTATTTCTACTAGTGGATCATAGAACGGTAAAATGGGAACAAAACAACCTATAAAGCACAAGTCTCTATATATATCCGAAAAAATGTTATTCATTGTTTTATATATTATATTTAGAGTATAATAAAGAATATTATGATACAATATTGAAATACAATCCTCAATTTTCTACAAACACATCTTTTACATAGTAAATAACTGGCTATTTCTATTTATTTTTATTTTTATCATGGAGACGCAAAAAATGATATAATTTTATTTCTAAACTTTTTATATTATTTTAGGCAGAAAAATTAATTTTTCTATCGGATATGTTTAGAGATTTAAATTATTGAAAAAAAATAATTTCATTCAAAAATATAGACTAGTTGAAAATCTTTGTCCTAATTTAGGCTAGTAAGTAACCATAAAATAAACGATCATGATGCGCGCTAAAGTACACATCAGCTAACATAAATAACGGGAATCAACTTTATTATAGTTAAAAAAAAATATAAGATGCAAAGATCAAAGTGATTGTAAAAATACTTCAAAAATGACAATGTAGACTTTATTTTAAATTAGTTAATATATTAAAAAAGCTTGCTAAAAAGAGGATACCATATTTGTGAAGTCTACTATTGGCTTGTCATTAAATGAAATCCAGACAAAATTGATTCGAATGGTGAATTAACTAAAAACAAAATGAGCGGGTAAATATTGAACATCACGTAACAATAATGAAGAAGACACGCTAGAAAAAAATTTAGGAACCTTTGATCAAACAATTCGGTGACTAGATTATAGGGCAAATTTGCTAAATAAAGATATTTATGAACCAAACACTCATTATATAAATTACTTTTAATTTCATATTATAGTTACATAAGATTTTTAAATAATTAATAATCAATTTGTTGGAATAAAAATTGTCATTTCATACTGAGTTATCTGGTATTTTATTGATCACGAGATAGTTAAGATTGACTAACTTACCTAAAATACAATTCAAAAATTTGTTCATAATAAAAGTTAATAAATTATTACCATGATAACTAGAATAAAATATTCAACGTTTATACACAATTATTTCTCTTTGATAAAAAATTAATTATTAATTATTTAAAGAACACACACGGAAATTGAACAGTTTCCTATATCAATATTTTTGATAAATATAAATGACCTACTGACTCTATTATGCTATATAATTAGTGTTTAATTATTAATTAAAATTTTCTTAACATTTTATAACACACCAAATACGGAAAATTTTAAATGTAATCAATGGTGTATTTAATATTTTTTCTAAGTTGAGATTTTACATAAGTAATTTTTTCTTCCCTTCTACGTTGTATCAAAATCATGTAATTTTTTCAATTTAGGCGTTGACATGAGACCATCCTCGTAAATATACTTCTGAATGTGATTTAACATGTCTAAAAACTTATATTTTCTACGGAAAGGATAAAATTTTAAGGAAAAATAAATTGAAAAGATTTTTTATAAATTTACAAACGTTTCTCTATTATTCAGTAGATCCTAACAAATTTTCTACCTAAAGATTTTATTAGAAACGATAAAATGATAAACTTTTTATCTTTAAACGGTTATTTATAAAAAAATTTTGTATAATAAATTTAGAATAATACAATTACTATAAATAAAGTGATTCTTTTAACATTAAACATTCAATTTCTCTTAACATAATAAGTTTTTTGGATTTCGTCCTTTATCCCTTATAAGAGTACTATATTTATTTTTTTAAACAACAACATACTTAATTAACCATCTTATGAAATTGAAAATAATCCAATTAAGAAAATGATTAATCGATATCAAATTTTGAACCAGTACTTCGGAACTTATTAGCATTTTTATATTATGGCAGTTTGAAAAGTGCGGCCTAAGATTGTTAAATAATAAAAATGGTCATCTCGAATCACTATTATACAAGAGCAATAAATTGAAAACTACACAACATATTGGCAACAAATTCATTGGTTATTTTTAATTCTATAAATAGATATTTAAGATAATGAATACTGAAGTCGATGGATTCAGGTAGTAATAAAAACAATAAATATAAATAACCGAGTTAACATACTTAAAATGACATAGGTGTATAACATACATGTCTAACACTATACACTAGTTTATATACAGGGTGTTCAGTAAGTCAGGAAACGGGTTTCTATTGTTCTCATTGTTTGTAACAATGAGAACAATAGAAACCCGTTCCTGACTTACTGAACACTCTGTATATATCTGATGCATTATATACTTTGTACAAACTGCATGATAGAACGTAACTCAGCGGTCAAATTGCAAGATAAAAGTCTCCTGTCTTATTCAATAGTCACTCAGTTGCGTTCTCTTGTGTCCTGTCTGCGGTATAGCAAATGCATAATTTCATAAGTAAACTGGCAACGTTGGTTTAATAAGTCTGTATAGTTAAAAGAGACAGAGTGTTAAAAATATTCTTATAATTGCCATGTTGCCAGTTTATTTATGAATTTATCATTTATTGGAATTTGTCGCTCTTACTACCAGGCTCGATTGACTTCAGTATTAATGTACTCAAATATCTGTCCATCGAATCAAAATAATCAATGAATTTGTCACCGCTTTTAAAATATTGTTTCCGTCTGCTGAAAACGGTTGTTTGAATTTGTCGCCCTGGTATTAGTAATATGTAATGTATTGTTACTAACAGTATTCCTGGACTGTCTTATATATCTATTTGTCGGCTATTAGTGTTACAAATATATTGAATTTATCAAATGTATACCTTTAATTATGTCGGTTTAGTCAATTGTTGGTACATATTATTAAAGTACCACTTTTACTACATTATTGTCTTTTTTATTCTATTTTTAACAGAAATTATTATTATATTTGTATGACAGTATAAAATTTTCATTATGTGTTTTATTTATTTTAACTATTGTTATAAATAATTGTTATTTAACCCTAATCAAAATGGTTCTTTATTTAACTTCTTTCTCTGTTTAAAAATGGAAGATGTAAAATTTCAATTTATTTTATTAATACTTACTCTACTTCTTTATTTTTAAAGCTAGTCCATGGAAAAATGTTTGATTATTTACAACCAATTACAATATATAACAAACAGTTTTAATAAATAAAATCATCAAAATTTTTGTTATCATTATATTGCATTAAAAAAATAATTCTATGGTATTTAGTGTTTTTAAAGCAAAAATGATTTAATTTAATAAATTATTCTAATGTTTTAATAAAACTCTGTGAAATATTTATCATTGTCACTCGTTTTGATTGTTATTTTTACTACTTTAGCTAAATTAGGAACGTTAGCTATCTAATATTATTTTATTAGAAAAATATTTATTTTAAACTAATATTGATAGTAATTATTAAATTAGTAACAAACAGAACCGGATTTGTCGGAGGTTATAAGGAGAATTGAGAAAAAACATGTAAAAAAAAATAAAAATTGGTTTGAATAGTTTTAAACAAGATTAAAATGTTTTTAACATGAATTTTTCTTAAATATCTTTTTACATATTTTAAACAAGTTTTAATCTCAATTTATTCACGTTCAAATAAAATAATAAATTCATATTATAAGAATTGCAGGCTAACTCAAGGTATAACAATATTATAACACTATTGCTATAACCCAATAGTGTGGCGATATCATAACATTTGTTTACATCTAGTGTTTCATCAGCAGGTATTAAATGCATATTTTCTTCTTATGGTACAATATATACAAAATTATGATACAGGTCAGGTATAGAAAAATCTTCTAAATTAATTTCTATATTTAAAAATCCGAATAATATTAGTCATCATATTTTATTGATTAAAACTTGAATTTCCATAATATTTTCCTAATTTGTTAATTATAATGCTTATTGAATTAATATGATTGTTAATTTATTTTTTTATGTTATTCAACTTTTTATTTTATTTAATAATATATGAATTTCTGTTATATTTAATTAATTACACTCAATATAACATTACATACTACTAATAAAATAAATAAGTAATTAAATAGATTATTTTATTACTTGACAATGGTACTTAATGTTGAAATTCAGTTTCTGATTGTGTTATCGACAAATATAATAGGCCTTTGTTTTGTTTATTTGTAAACATATTTTAGTTGGTAAAATTTAAAAATTACATTAGATTGCAACGATAATAATTTTTATGTTTGTTAATGACCAATTTATACGTAATCTAATCGAGAAATGTTCTCTACAGTAACCTTACAATGGAAAAAATCATATTTTTATTAGATTTTAGCTTAATTATTTGATGATGCATGGGAAAAACGTCAAAGTCAAAATAAAGTAAAAATAAGTAATTTCTTTTTTTACTTGGATAGTTATCTTACCGAGCACCATCAATATGATATG